TAACTGGACAAATAACTCATTAAATTATATTTAGAAATGTTTTTTTAAACGATGACAAAGTAATGATAGATTATGAAATATTTTTATAAATGTTTGATCTATTAGCTAAAATTAGATCGATTATGTTTAAATAACGTTTCTTTAATAATAGTAGAAAATCTTCTTGCGTATAGCAAGACTTAATAAAAATCTAAATATTAAATAAACACATACAAGTGGTTATATATAGCTTACTGTTAAAGCTTTGTTTTATATAAATTATATATTAAAATATTTTACCAAAAAAATTTAAAGCCTATGATAGAAATTCTACCATCCCAATCAGTGCAGTATTTTGTAGTTTTTCTTCTCTTTCGTGTATTCTATCACAACCTGAGCTCCCTCTCTCCGGGCGCGGGGGGTGACGTCACAGATCAATACCATTCTATGTGCATGATGTAACTTGTTTTGGGGTCTTTACTCCGCTATAATAGTCCATTTCAAGGGTGCACAGACATGGGTAGCATTTACGTGATGCTACACTTCACTGTTACAATAACCTTTAAGTACATTTGAAAGTCTAAAGCTAATGAGACATGAAAGCTGAATATTTGTTCAAAATATATATGACCTGTATGAATATTTTATACTAGCAATCCTGCCAAATTAAAACTAGTAAAGCTTGGGGTCATGTTATTTAATATCATTTATTGTATTTTCCCTCTTATTCCATTATTGTGTAAAGTAAACAAGTCAATAATGTATTTCGCTTATAAACTCATTTGTATTACATATCTCACAGTGCATAATATTTAAATTCAATATATTTTATTCAGTATTAAATTATTACAATTTTTTACTAAACATCATCATCGTGTCTATCGAAAAGTTCGCTATACATATTATACATACATACATATTAGTACGTACATATTAGTCGCCTGCTAAGGACAACGTAAATAAACATTGACACGTGTTAGGGAGTGGACCCAGGCATGCGCCCTGCGGTACCCACATCGATCCGAGCATTGCCAGCTATAGTTAGCTAGCAGCTAGGTGCTCGTAGAACAAAAGATAGCAGAATCAAGTATTATCAGACATAAAGCAATCTGTTTTTTATGTTATCAAGATAAATAATATTCAGGTATAAATACGGAAATAAATAAAATGTTTATACGGTTTCTTTATTGTACAAAAATGATAGTACATTGATAACAAATGATTAAATGGCGACGAGATATAAAATTTTCCAAGTTTAAAATTACTGCATAGTTTTACTACTTTATCAATTAAATTTTAATGATGATCATTTTACCATTCAGTAATATTCTTTTACCGTGTACTCTACTCAGATAGAGATTAGATATAGAGCATAGTGGATCTATATTAAATTTTTCCTTTTCTTCCATTGAGTAGGGACGTTTTGACCACAAATATTTATATTAGGCTAACATATCGCAGATGTCGAACATACGACCGATTAACAATCAAAAATATTTCTAAAAATATTCTTTCTACTTAAAAAAAAAAACAAAATCTTACTGTAGCAAGTGCGTGCATACATACAGTAATCTATACTATAATAAAACAGTAGAGATCGAATGTCTGTACATAGCAAAAAAATGCTAAAAACCGAGTCAGTGGGATGTAAGAAGACAAATAGAACAAATCCAGATTTTAATAAATGTTTTTGTTTCTCTGTCTGTTTGTCTGTTTGTACGGGCTAATCTCCGAATCTATAGGACCGATTTAAATTAAATATTGCATGGTGGTACCTTATATCCCCGGGCAACATCTTAGATACTTTTTATCCCGGAAAAATAAATAGTTCCCGTGGGATAGTTAAAAAACTATAGTAACTTATACAGCTTTCTGCTACCTTATATTGCCGGTCAAACAACAAGTTACTTTTCATCCCGGAAAAATGAACGATTCCCGTGGGAAATAATAGATCTCTATTAGTGTTCTTCTAGAGGCGAACCCGAGCGAAGCGAGGGTGAGCCGCTAGTATTAGAATATAAACGTATATTTGACAAGTAAATGATAATAACATTTCATAAAATTTGCAACATAAACGTAATATGGATTGTATAAACACGTTACAATTTACAAATCGTCAGCTCTTAAAATCGATAGCCTACGTTCGCTCTAGCCGCCTAGCGTTTCGCAATAATCATCACATCGTCTATTGGTACCGTGATACGTAAACTTTCTTTTGCAGACTTCTAAGCTTTGCTTAATCAGTTTTTTACAATTGCTGTCTTAAATTTAAATATCTATCTTTAATTACGACTAAATTCAATTATGCTAAAATATGATCTCCCAAATACATTAGTCTCTTATGTAAGTTCAGTAATATTCTAAATCTTTGTATTGTTATAAAAATGCACATGCAAACAATACTAAGTTAATCCATCAACTTAAGACTTGTGAAATAATCATTGTTACTTGTTGTGGAGCTCAGAAAATATTCAGATATATATATATATATATATATATATATATATATATATATATATATATATATATATATTTTATAATAATCTGATAAATTGAACAATAGAAAAGTATCAAAAATTGTTATCTTTTAATGAAATGATGATGATGATGAAATGTGTGTCAGGTCGTCGGTTAAAGTCAGACTATTTCCTCAGCAAGTAATGGATGAAAAAAAAAACAGTCTTGAACTGTGAATATATGTTTTTGAGTTATTGCAAAATGAATATTGGAATTTATCTTAAACGAAACTTTCTAATATAATTGTCTAACGTATAATATGCTCTGCAAATGTGGTAGTGTGTCTATGCCCGAATAGATGTAAATAAACATAGCTGGCACGTGCCGCTCCGAGACGGGCTCCGCGCAAGCGTACTACCGCATTAGTTCATTGCACCGTTAATTGTTTAGCTTTTTCATCTAGTCGACACTTTTAATTCAAACAAACGTGGAAACAATAGATAGGACATAATCCTTTTTTCTTCAAATTCCTTGTATTATATGCTTAAATATGATAAGCTGATATAACTACCTAGATCTTTATTAATAACTAGACTAATCTAATATGCAATAGATACTATACCGTATCATTAAAGTTCTTATATGTCTATATATTGTGTTCTATATTCTTAATAAATTAATCCTTTGGCCTTGTCTTTCTATCAATTCTTTTAAATTATTAGTTTATACAATAACTATTAACGAGCTCTTCCTTTTATCTCTGTACGACTATCAGACTACCTGTTGTCTGATATGAACAGTAATTGATCAGTGACGCATGTTGACTTTATTCTTCTTTAGATATACTTACGAAAAACAATTAACTGATAAGATATGATATCAGTGTCTCGAATTCTCGACGGATTATATAAAGTCCTTAACAAGAATATTTCTTTTGTATAGCTAACAGAAAAGGTGCTTAATTTGTAGACATAAATATGGCATCTCTAAATGGAATAGTATTATGCATTCCGAAATAGAGGTTTAACTGCGGTATTTCCAATTTGTGAAAGGCATAAGAACAGCTTAGACTCCCTAACTTCAAAGCTCTTTATTTGAATACCTGCATGCAATCAGATAACCGGGTTTACTCCGGAGTTTTACATCACAATCACATAAGAACGTAACCAAATTTAGCTGAACTCATTTGGATGCGACTAGCTCGGATGTGCACTCCTTTGTTTGATTTTTTTTCATTGAGCGTAATGATATTAGTGTAGAACATAGAAATTTTCAATAATTCGACATATCACAACTACAGTTGATATACAATAGGACAAGTTAATAAATAAAAAATATCCAATACATTTAATCTATGCGTTTATTATTGGCTAAAAAAATTGTCGTTAGTCTTGTATCAAAAAATCGTGTTTCATTTAATATCAATATTGAAACATTATTTTGTATCGCGTAGTTACTACCGGCACTTATACCTTTAAAGTATACTTTAACGTTTCAAATTATATTGAATAAGAAATAGTTCCTGCTATTTTATTTCCATCCTCAAATTATGCAAAAAATATATGTTAAAGTAGATAAAATAATATCAAATAACAATTTTAGAATAATAATATGACAGTGTTTAATTCAATACAAGTATCGAGACATCCAGCGTACTCGTACTCTTGTACAAAATTTATAAATTATATACTTCACCCAAAAGCATTTAGTAAGCTCGCTGGGGAACGTGTTTTTCGTGAACACGAACCGTAGTTATACGAGTAGTATACGATATCATCACTCGTCATTACCTGACCACATAACTGTTTTTCCCCGATCCTACGCATACAAAAAGCGATGGATGGACCTTTATTATTATTAAAACACAACAGAAATGAGCGGCAACATGGCTCTGCGGTGTTGCCGTTCTTTACGCTCGGCTGACTCGTCACGTGACGTCACGTCTCAAGATGGCCGCCACGCCGGTCGCAGTGCCCCGCTCCCGTCTTCCAGCCGGATCCGATCGTGCTCTATGTATAATAATAATAATTTTAAACGCAGCCGCCTTTAAGGAAACCGAGTGAGAATAGATTGAAATTTAATGCATCGAGCACGTCGGTTATACGCGTTAACACTAATTGTTATTCTACAACGGCAGCTGTTTACTTTCGATGAATAATATCGGCCTCTTAGCGGAATCTATGATTTAGCCGTTGGATATGCTATGTTAGATTGTTCACTAACGTTACTCTATGCCTCTATTTATGAAAATAACCTATTTTTCAAACAAAATTGGGGCCAAAAAGTCTGCTTGGAATTTTTATGTATGCCATGAATCACTTTGTTTGTAAATTTTAATTTTTTTCCACTAACTTTCTATTTATTATACAATTGACTATCAAGAACATTTTTTTATTGCATAAACCGTAACTATATTGTCAAATTTCAAATTAAAGTAATTTCCAATGATTCAATTTTATTTTCAAATTTTCCAATCAAAATTGTGATTAATTATTTAATTATTCATACCGATAGTAATTTCTCAAAAATATTGATTGAAATAAAAGTATTGAGCAACAACCGCAATGATGTTACTGCATTTGATGGATTGTTGTGCATGTACCGGGTTCGTTATCGCGGGGCGTGCTGGCGGGCAGCGGGCTGCGGGTGGCGGGGGGCGGGCGGCAGCACGGAGGGCGCATCCGCGTCGGGCTAACGGCTCGTCCTCGCGCGTCGCGGTGCGCGCGCTGACGTCAGCGCTCGATAATGGCCGCCGCCCGACCCCCGCCGCCGCGCTACCCGTGGCCACAGCTCAGTCTCTCTCCGACCCGCTAGACGAGCGAGTGCCTCAACGTTGACCCACCGCGTTACATGTGATACTAGTGCTCCGTGTACCATGGTGACAGTGTTTTTCGTTACGAGTAAATAAAATCTGTGACAATTTTCAAGGGGAGCGACGACCGATCTCTCGCACACCGCACTACATTCGGCGGCGAGATGTCGGTAATGCAAAAGCGCCAGCACTGCTACTTGTGCGACTTGCCCCGCATGCCGTGGGCGATGTTGCACGAGTTCTCAGAAGCAGTATGCCGCGGATGTGTTAATTACGAGGGTGCAGATCGAATTGAAGTTGTTTTGGAAACAGCGAGACAGTTAAAACGCGCACACGGTTTCCAAGAAGGACGTGGTCCTACTCATGCCAAAGGAGCTCACAGGGCACCTATGGAAGCACATCAAAATGGAGGGGAAACAAATGCTCGGGGCCAACCGGCCCCGCCGGCACATCATGCTCCATCCGCTGGATTTACGCTACACCACACAAGACCCGCGACAAACGCAGGACTTTTGGCAGAGTACGGTGGTCGTAGAGAAGAACACGAAGGCAGACGCTTGGCACATTTACCATTAGCTCATCTTCCAACACATGGAGGTGCCCGTCTCGCTCCTGGCCTGACGCTCAAACGACCTCTGGATGATGATGACCATCAATCTCATCATGAACCCACTAAGAGACTTTTAGAGGAGCATAGTCGACCACCCCTAACCCGAGGTGAATCTTTACCTGCGGTATCCTTGGCCGCTCCTTTCGCTCCAGATCGAGTCTTCAAACAAGAAAAACACCCTCTGAGAACACCATCTTTCGATGCGTCTTCTTTCAAATCTAATGGTGAGTTCATTTCTGTTAAGTACATACTTTTTTAATAAAATTCATTTCTTGTCAAAAATATTGCAAAAGTCATTTCAAATCTTAGAAAAACACAGAATAGAATTTTACCTATTTAATTAAATATTTGTTGTTGTTTTTACAGAAACTTGTCAAATAATATTATCCTCATAGCAACCAACTTTCTGGCACACACTTGTAAGATATAGGTTTTGTTATTCATGTTCTTCAACATTACTGAAAAGAGAAATGTAAAAATATTTGAACATTAATTTTATTGAAATTATTTGAAGTCGTAGTGGTACAAAATATAATAATTTCCGTCATTTTATTTTATGTTTGAAAGCATTACCTCAAACAATCTTAAAACAATATCTAAAACAATCATTCGACGTAATGTTCTAAAAATATTGTTGTTTATCAATAACAGCGCACTTTTAAAAGTGAATTAAAATAGTTATTTAATGGTCACGCTCAGCGCGATAAGGCAGTGGTAGTGATGGTTGTATGTACGTGTTCCGTATATGCAGAGTGTTTTGCGCAAGCGTTCGCCAAGGGATTTATATCTAGGTAGATAGATGCATTAACTCGGTCCATAAATACAAAACCGGTTCGACCGGTTGAGCATTCTCGAAAGCGACTCAGCACTCCGCACTCCGCTCCGGCCTCTCGCACACCACTGTATGTACTATGTACATTGTACAAACACCCACGTAACGCGAACGCGGCACTGCCGTGAATGCACGAAAGCACCGGCGCGGCAACGTCGCGTGACGACATTTTCGCTCGCGTACGTATGTAGGTGGGCCGTCGAGCGAAAAAATATAGCGCCTGCCTACGCTTGGCAGAGTTGCTCGACCACATTCCGGCGGCGTGTGTGTACAGCGCACAGTAGGGAGCGCTGCGGCCAAAAAGGTCACCACGTGACGTCACCACCGCCATATGGCCGCGCCTGCCGACCAGCACGCCCTTTCGCACGTTACTCTAATAAATTATCTGTTTACGTTCCATTTCATTGTGACATTTGATGCGATGCATTTCATACACAACATCAGTATACGATCTCGTGCCAGAACATTGGAAGTGATAAAATATACCATAAGGCTTAATAAGAGAACGTAACTAATATCAGAATATAGACATAACGAGAATGTCATATAAAATTTTGAGCAAAAAGTAATAAATTTATATTTACTTAATCTAAGATTCCTGACATAATAGAATTATTTTTACAACCCAAAAACGAATATTGCGTTAGTGGTAAAAGCACACATATGGAAAGCACGGGAATGCGACGTTTGGCAACGTCGCGTTGCGATACGAGCTACTGCACATTCGAGTGTATAGCACACTCGCCATACTTACCTACCCGTCTGGTGACTCGATTGGCCTAAAAGACCCAGCGCCACGCTGCAACGAGGCAGTGACACATCGGCACGCTACGTAAGCGCGTATTAACACACAATGCTATTTATAAGACATTATGTGCGTGTGTGAACGTGTGTTTACTATCCGACGGTCCACCGCAAACGATGTGTCATCCAACATTGAATGTGAGGTTATTCGGACAAATTGAAATGATGTCGTTTGCCGACGATACATTGAAAGTGGCGCTGTGTACATAACCACTCGCTAATAGAGACCCGTGCCAAGAATTATACTATATGTTGCCAAATTAATTGGCTTAAATGACGTTTTAGCGAAATGATTACAAAAAGATATCGATCCTTTCACTATAGACAACACTTTATATTAAAACACAGAATAATCATAATGCAATATTAGCGTATTTGTAATAAAATTTAGTTTACTTCGTTATTTCCTCGTATGTTGGTTGCTGAGTATATTGATATTATTGAAACATGGAATGACTTTTGAAACTACTTGAAATATTTAAAACCTAATATCCTTATCGAATTCTTTAATAGAAGTTTGTTATTATGAAACCATTTTCTCTTCAGGATACACAAACAGCGCACCGCTTACAAATGGATCAGCAGGATCTCCCTTGGGTAGAACTGCAGGTTCCCCACCAGTCACTGGTGCTGGCGCTGGACCATCCCCTATGGCCGCGTTAATGTCTGTGACGGATACTCTGCCCCCTGGATCACCACGATCAGCTGGAGGCTCGCCTCCTCAGCCACCACCACAGCGATCTGCAAGTCGCTCCAGCCAACACTCCCCCAATTCATCAGGTAAGGCTTCATAATTTGCTTTAAAGACTTTGCTATTGGGATTCTAATCACAAAACAGAAAACAAGCCGTATTAACATATTGTGTTTATTATTTGATTATCTAAAATACTTTAATGTTTCATACTAATCCTTAGCTTTCACATTTTAAACTGGTTTCTAAAACGATTATAACGGCTATCGCACCTCATGGGTCGGACTCGGGCGGTCCGATGGCCGTAGCCGTATTTCGGCACGGCTCCCGACGACCGCTTGCACCCGTAATCCCAGCTACAGTCTGCTCTAAAGCGAACTATGTCTTTCTTCTTGTATTTCTTATATTGTGAAAGTTAGCAGACGGTAGCTTAAAATTATCCTCCGGTCCGGCAGGGTCAAACGGCGGGCGGCGGTCGTCGGGTTCGCGGCACGTGTCGTCAACGACTTCAGTGTCATCAACTGAAGCTGGAGAAGGAGCCGAGGCCGCAGCGCCAGCGCCCGCACCTCTCCTAAAGTGCACTCTCTGCCAGGAGCGCCTCGAGGACACTCACTTCGTACAGTGCCCAAGCCAACCGCATCACAAATTCTGCTTTCCCTGTTCCCGGGACTCCATCAAAAGACAGCAAGGATCTGAGGTGAGAAACTACTTCACTAACAAAGCGTTTCATTTTTAATTTAAATAAATCAAACTGTATTTAAATGTTGAACCTATTTATCTGAATGTATTCTAAGTAAATTATTCTTTTTCAGGTATACTGTCCAAGCGGTGAGAAATGTCCGTTGGCTAATTCGACGGTACCCTGGGCTTTCATGCAGGGCGAGATCGCAACGATCTTGGGAGAAGAGTTCAAGCCGAAGAAGGAGCGGGAGACCTAGGGCTACGTGCCAAAGCCCCGACTTTATCTCTTGTCCCTCTTGATGTAATTGAACACGAGAGGAGTTATGCCCGTAAGAGAGCATTCGATCGCCTCGCGCGTCGAAAGTGCGGCTCCGATGGGGACACGCGGCTAGGCCGTGATAAACCGATCACTTGTATATAAATTGTAAATAAATCTACCTTTAGTTCGCTCACCGATATTGGCGATTCGGAATTGGTTTTCCGGACGGTCGGATATGGACCGTATTCAGCGTAATGGGTTCTTTACTGTTCAGTCCAAGCGAGACGGAATCGGTAGCGTTTAAGTGTTTTACGTGAGCTATGCAATATTCTGAATATAGTACATATCTGTTTTCGAAGATTTTATCGTTATCTTGATACTTTGAGGATCCTTTAGGGACACGACTTATTTTGATCTGAAGTTACTCTCGATTGATGTCGGCGGTGTTTCAAACCGTACGTTCATAAGTATACATATATATGTTATATGGGATTTCTTCGGATGCCATTTTCTTAGTTACCTTTAGGTCCCGAACCATAGTTAACTTGGCATTTATTTATATTGTGATTCTTATACACTATACGAGTATTATCGATATATGATCATGACATTTATGTAGTCGAGTACTGACTGTAAAAATGTAGTTTCTCGGATATTGACGGCGGACCACGCCCTGTACAGATAAATTAGCTTGGTGTAAATTTGTATTTATTACATTCGCATGAGAAATAGTCTTATTTTATACTACGAAGCGATTTGTTCAGAGTGGCTCGAGTTCCGTTACTGTATTTCATTCGGTGAAAAGATTCGGCATGGAAATGACTCTTACTTTTATTGTTGATTTACGGACTTGCGTTACGATTGGAAATCATTTAAAATTGTAGTTTTTCGACGTTTGGGTTGTTTTTTGTAAAGATAAGTTACGTCAATGGAATGGGCCGAAGGGCAGTATTAGTGGGATTGTACCTAGTCATTTTGAGAAATGTCAAATTGTCAGATCCGCGAGTACGCGGCCATTATAGGAACTCTTAAAACTCGCTGCTATATTTGTAAAAAGTGAAGTAATTATCATTATATTATTATTATTATATATGTCATAATGTTATACAGTCGTAGTCGGTCAATTTCGAAGGCTATCAGACGATAGTCGGCTTTGATTCTTGCTTTCGCATCGGCTTTGGTCCTAGTTTTATGAAGCTTCGAGTGTTCCTCTGATAAGTTTTGATAGTTACTTTGAATTATATAATTGACATTTGAACTAACTATCAAGAATTTCAGTCGCGATAGTAAGCCTGCAATAGAAGTTATTGTTTCTTGTAATGCTGGGCTTACATGAACCGCGAGAAGGCTCATTTTCATTGGATACAATGTTCTAAGAACGTTTTTTTAAACTCACAGACCAAAGGGCCGAACATACAAATGTGTGTTTAATTAAATCAATAATAATTTTAGAATCACTATCTATGTTGGTCTGGTGTAAGTTCTACGTGTAATTAATTCTTGTAAGCATATAATATCTAGTGTCATAATATCCGTTACGAGACGCGACGTGTCTTTAAATACTGCGTATTTCAAAACAATCAATCAAATTGATATGTCCATTATTTATTTTAGATATTTGTGTACATATACGATATACGTACACATGTACGGTGTACAGACTTGTTGTAAATACTTTAGATAACGTTATGGATTATATCCAGTCAGTATTATACTAAGTACTGTGAACATGTAGTTATTTATAAATCAATTTTTTTGCTACTTGATCGTATTTTGCTGATTTGTCAAATATGTATATTATTTAATAAATTTCTTTAATTTTTGTATTGAACTCATAATATAGAGTGCATTTTATCTTTCGGGTGTTGCACCCTTGGCAATTATTGTTTTTGAAGATATTACTTTGTTTATCAATGTTTTCATGTTGCTTTTTAATATTGTAATGTGCATATTAACATACAATGATTTTTTTAAAGCTATTTACTTTTTCTGATAGATTTCGAAATTGATCATTAGAATCAGTGGAGTCGCCCGCAGTCGGGCTTGTCGATAAATATTTCGCCAAAGATTTGGCATATAGTGAAAATGTAAGCACAAAGTGTGCATCTTATTTTATGCCTTTGAGATGTTAGGTGTGCGAAAAAATTTTCTTCATAATGTTCAATGGTATGTTTTTAAATGTAACTTTGCTTATTCATTTTTATTTGCTTTTTAAAGGTGGTAGATCTGTAAGGAGTAGATCAATCTAAAATCCTGTCTTTTCCTCGAAAGTTTACCAAATGTGTAAACAATGTATTATATTTAGGTACATTCTTACATTTAACATCTCAAAGAATCTATAGTCCGCCTCTATGAATAGGCTTGTTTGTAGATGGCGACAATTTATCGCCGAAAATAATAAGAGACTTGTATCTTTCTACTGTAAGCAACAACTGAAATGCTTCGATTAAGACGTTAATGTACATGTTGGTGAAATACAATTGATGTGATTTTGTAGTATTGTCATTTTATTTATATAATATATCTCACATGCCCCTCAATCCTATCCGATAATCTATTTTAAAATAAAATAAATGTAGTTTTTACAGTAAAGAACTTCTGAAATGAGATAACTCTGAAGTGTGCCAAAAGACTTAATTTACTTAATAAATTATGACAAATAAATAATTTAAAACTTTTATTGCATCTGCTCATAGTTTGTTCTTTAAAAATTCTAAAATCGTATTCATATAAAAATGAAAATAAAATTATATTTCATTCAACAAAAAAGACAGAACCCTAAGAAAGGCTGCATCAGGCGTTCAAGATGGTCTGTAATGCTAAATATACCATATACAAAATGAATAATGTCTAATAACTGGTCTGCATAGCATTATAAACAAAAAACAACATAAGAGTCTAATGCCCGATTTCACCAACATCACTTAAGCTACCACCTATTTATGGGATCCCTAGCTTAAAAGGTCCCCTAAACTAGCCCCTAAATTAAATTTTGTTTACCATTGTCAGAGCCCGTATTTCTAGTACCTATATTTCGGTGGCATTTTATTATTATTTTTTAAATTTTATGCGACCCCTAACTGTCGGTAAAACAGAAACTATACATAACCATGCTTAGGAGATCCCTTAAACTTAGGTGACGTTGGTGAAATCGGCCATTAGACTTACAATAAACATATCTTTCTAATGTCGGATTCCTCATAACGTACTTGTCTATTTGTCACAGAGCGGAGCGGACCAGAGAGGATGCCGGAGCCGCTGTGTCTGACCAACAGATGAGATACGAACAAACACTTTACCCAGTCGATAGATATTTGGTAAGTAACATTAAAAATGTACATAATTTGTTTAAAAATAATTACTCGCTTTAATATGGCTTACTTGTTTACCTCTGATATTATTACAATTTAACTACCTTGTGCTGTCTTATAATTCCAGGTTGAGAGCAGCAAAAAAGTTGATATGATTAACATTATAGATGATGATATTTGGAATACTGAACCGGCCTTAAGGCCCGAAGATGAAATTATATTAAGAAAGTTGCATGACATGCTGCAATCAACTGCAGACGACCTAAAGCTGCTTTCTGGGGAACTGTCTAGATATCATGAGCCGGGTGTACAAAAGATGAGATTACCAACGCCTTTAGACGAAGAATTTAATGAAAAAGTTTACATTGAAGAAGTTGTGAATGCTAAATTTCATGGGCACAAATTAGTTAAAAATTTTAAAACTCCTTCCAATATAGTACAAAAGGGTGCCGCTGGAAACGTCCGTTTGATACAGCCTTTAAATAATAGTACAAAAAAGGTTACAAATGCTAGTGTACAAGTTAATGGAGTTTCATCCATTAAAAATACATCAAAAAAGAAAAATTTAGGAATATCACGCACAAAAACGCTTCAAATTTATGATGAACTACCTACTCAAGAAAAACAGCTTAGAAACACTGAAGAAGACACTCGACATAAAAATAAGTTTTCTAAAGTTACTTTCAACGAATTTTCTTATAAACATGAAGAGCCTAAAATAAAAATTACACCCCAAAAACCTTTACAAGTGCAGGAAATGCCAAGTATTAGCATTAGAAGCCAACTAAAAGAACAAAAAGTTTTACAGCTTGACATTCAACCCGACGAAACTGAGATACAGGGAAATGAATCTGTTAAAAGTAATGCATTGGTTATTGAGATGAAATATGAACCTACGAAAACGTTAAAATCTTCTAAACCAGTTACATTTGATCATATTACCTTAGTTAAACCTACTAAGCAAACCAAGCGAAAAATATCTATAATTCCAGCATATGAAAGTAGTGAATCAACTAATAACGTAAGTTCAGAATCACAATGTAATTTGAGAAAACAAAAGAGTCCAAATACTCGTTCATCGATATACTCTGTTCCGAAAAGAACACAGAAAAGTAAAAAGAATACTGATTCAATAAAAAATGTGAAGCTTTCTAAATCAGATTTAAGTGGATGGGAAAAAAAGCTGAAAGTTGTTTACGGTAGAAAATCCAAACACTCAGTGGCAAAGGTCAAGAAAGTGTCAAAAAAAAAGACTAACTCCGAAAATATTGAGCATCAAAATAAAACCAATAAAGGTAATAACACGGAATACATACCGTATTCAAAATTAACACTAGGGGGAGTTTCTGTCACTGATATCGAAAGGGAAATTTCTAATATACCCAATAGAAATGATATAGTACTTAGTCCTATTTTAGACAAAATTTTAAGCAGCCGTGAAAATTCATTTAATAAGAATAGTCCCACAAAGCATAAAAACAAAAGTTTAAAAATATTAACTACCTCCGACGAAAATTTATTACAAGAGGTTTTAGATATCGAGAAACACGTCACCGAAACTTTATCTGGTAAAAATAGCAATGAAAATAAAACTTCCGACGAAGAAGATATCAGTATCAAAAATAAAAACTCTGAAGATAGTGATAGTTATATAGATGATTTTGAAGACAAATCTGAAGATTCTAAGAAGGACGACATAATTTCCGTATCAAATAGATCTCATTCTGTACAAAACTCTTCTCCTAATAATTTTAATAATGATATTCAAAGCCAATTATCAGAAGATAATTTAAACCGAAAACATGTTCACGATAAAACATTTACCAAAGTGCCCAACTTATCTTATAAAAACAAAGTTGATATTTTTGAATTCGTTCACTGTGTTGAAACGCAAGACATTGCTACACAAAGTAGTATATTAAATAAACTAAAACTTCAAGAGACGCAAACTTCTCCCAGAAATGATGTACCTAATGTACAGTCAATCCGTAACGATTTATGGCCCTCGATTGACCCTCGGGGTGAAATTGAAAAATTATTTGATTTGGAAAAAGACTTTATTAAAAAGTTAATTATTGATGAATATGGAGATATATTAGAAAAAAGTTTTAATAAACCATCAACATCTAAAGACGAATCAGAAAATATTGCAGCGGTTCAAAAGAATACACAAACCTCCCCCGCGCATGTCAAAAGTGTGATGACGTCGCCAACGCGAACGAAAACTAGAACTACTTCACCGTTTGCGTTGTCGTTAACTGTCAATAAACAAACTAGTCCACTGTTAGTCGTTTCAAATGACGATAAATTTGAACTCGAAATAGAAAAAGATGATGATCTTGGCATATCCGTTAATTTGTCCTCGCCACGTTTTAGTTTACGTCTACCACAAACTACACGAGATATTTTGTCAAATTTTGAAGCAAAATCCAATAGCCGTATTAAAAAGAGCAACTTGCATCAAAACTTTAGTAGCTCCAGTTCTGTAGACGGAGATTACTCTTCGTCAGATATAAGCAGTTTGGGGGAAATTCATAAAAAATATAAAAGAAGGCTCAGGAAAATTAACATTCCATCGATTTCTGAATTGAGTTCCTCATCATCACTGTCCAGATGCAGCACAGGCACATCTGGCGCCATACTTCCACTAAGAAGTGAAGGTGAAGCCAGTGTAGGACAGATAAATAAAAAGTTAAATAAAGTAAGTAGGAGTGAAGGAGAATTGAGCTTAGGCCAGTGGAAATAGTATTTCACATGCTGGAAATATAACTTGTTTTATATTGTTGGCGATATTCCAATACTTTGTGCCTTAATATAATATTTGATTTTAGATAGTTTATTTTTAGCGAATCAAGTGTTGCCCGTCTTTGTTGTTTATTCACCTCAAGTACAAATCGGTTATCGCAATTTTACTTGTGATATTTTATTTTTAATACATAATATACTTAAGCGCAAATATATTTTATACTATGCCATTTAGCTAATTATTATAGACACTAAGATGAATTTTGCAATATGACTGAATAATAAATGATTTGAAAAAGTCTGTTTATTTTTTCTTTATCCTAAAAACTTAAACGTATATACTAAAATTATTACGTACTTAAAAACATCATAATTATGAGCCCCGCGCACTTGGCAGCCTGGCTGCTGCAGCCAGAATGCGGCAGCCAGCCGAACATACGAAGGCGTATAGTAGCCCACGCACTAGGCAGCCACGGTTGCCTGGCTGCGGCAGCCATCAGAACGCGCCTGATTGCACGGCAGCCCATTGGCTGCCCGCAGCCAGAACAAAAGTAGGCGAATGTGTGTGGCTGTCGTCAGTCTCCGCGTACTTCACTGTAGCAGCTAGACGTATTAACATGATATGGGAATAAATAATATCAAAAATAAAGAGTATTTTAGCCGACTGCGCTAGAAGCAGGGTTATGTTTTTGATGTATGTACCTATGTATATTTCTTTGGCACGCTCTGTAGCTTTAACGGCTTGATGGATTTTAGCTTGAGGGTGTCGTCGTATTCGCCTTAATTGTAAGGGTGACACTGAGTATATCAAAATAATAAAAATTAAAATTATTTGGCGCCATGTTATGTTTTTACTCAAAACCTATGGAGTTGGGTATCAAAATAAAGATTTTATAAATGACTTATAAAAATATATAAACTTAATAATTAGATCCTCCACGTCCATATCATAACATCATAACAGAATGGTCCCAACTGTCTATGGCCATGGCTGCTATAACTTACTGCTCAATTATTTCTGGCTGCCTAGTGCGCGGGTTCTCTATAGGTATTACCTTTAGTGATGATATTTTTACTAAACTACTATAAGTAAAATCGAATATGGATCAGTATACATAATAATCGATTTTCGTTTTAATATTTATGAAATATTATATCCCGAGAGCACACACACTCACAAACACACACACACACTCACAAACTCACATACACACACACACACACTATTTTACTAACAAATAATGTAAAACTTAATTTGCTATAACAAGCTACTTTTGATGTGGCTATGGAAGAGCGAGATTGTCTGTCACAGGTGTTTTTTACACTTAAAAGGCGATCTCAACCTTATTTGTAATTTGTAAACATTTTGTTAATGAATAAAATATTTATATTTTTTTTACAACCGAATCTGGACATAATTAAATATTCCGAATAAAAAATGCCCAAACTGTACAAAAACGTAGCTCTAGAAAAATGACAATATTTCAAAATAAAGTAATTTAGAAACAATAATATTTTGATATGTTTTATTAAGGCTTTTGGGTCTTCACAAAAATCGATTGCTATACAGAATAATCGATTTTCGTGTTCGAAAATTTTCGGACATCTCTAACGTAACTGACAACTGACAAGTGATAAGTAACTTTAAAATATTATTGTTTTATGTTTTGACTTTTGGTTTTTACTGGAAGCTGAGTGTTGATTGTGATACTTTGATTACTGTAATACTGCGAGTGCGCGGCAATTGAAATTACTCGTTGATTCATTTCCATTGTTACAGTATTATTGTAAGGTTTAGACGTTTAGCAAAAACCTAGTTATTTTTCTATAATTTTTATTTGATTATTCTTTATGTTGTCCTAACACTTGTTTTCAAATGAACTATTGCTAGCAAACACAATGCGATTATTCATATTTGCGTTATTATTAAAACTATCATTAGCGAAATTCAATCCACGCGTCAGTCCTGGATATGACTGTAACTATTGCCAGCCAGAACAAATTCACATATCATTTGGTAGTAAGTAAACTTATCATATTTTTCTGGGCTCAATATAAATTTATATTGTATGAGTATGTTTTACTTTAATAGTTTCCTAGATTTATGCGAATATTTGACATTTGAAATAAAATTATCTTTTCAGATTTTTTCGCGGATTTATTTAGATTTTTGGTTCCCGACGTTTCGAAAACTACAAAGCAATCATAGTCACGGCAGAGACAAAGGTTTTAGACGACTGTAAAGCATTCGTGATTCCAAACGTCGGGAACCAAAAATTAAAATTAATCCGCGAAAAAATCCGAAAGGATAGCTTTGTTTAAAAATTTTTACTTTAATCTATACTAATATTATAAAGAGGAAAGATTTGTTTGTTTGTTTGTAATGAATAGGCTCCGAAATTACTTAACCGATTTAGATGAAATTTGGTTAGAAGATAGTTTGTACCCTGGGAAGGACATGGATAGTTTTTATTCCGAAAATCATCCCCTAAGCGGGTGAAAGTTTGTATGGGGAAGCAACCTAGAGTGAACCCGAACGAGGTGAGGATGTGTCGCTATTTAATTATAAAACTGAAAATAATAATAATATTTCTAAATGAAAATTAGTACATTGTGATTGTATTTTCTTCTATTATTTAGTTATAAGTGATTACCTAATTAAATTTTACTTTCCTTTACTCAATTTTCCTTTAGTGACTAACAAATATTTACAAAGTATTTTGTATGAAAGGAGATGATTGTTTTCTTGTATTTATATATTATGTACTATGAAGTACCTATTCAAATTATATAAGTATAATATTTATTTTTGTATATAATTCAAATAGGGTAAATATAAAACAATGAGCTATAAATAATAAGTAATCAAACTGTCATACAAATGATTTGTATTGTAAATAAAATGTTTGAATAATGAATTTTTCACCAAATCATGATTACACAAAATAAATAATATTATAAACTTCCAGTACCATCACATTTGTAATAAAACTAAAATATATGTGGCATTTGTTTTTGTATAACATTTAGTATAATCAGTTGTGTCCGCCCTATATTTATAATAAACAGACTATTTAAAGTATAGACATTAAACTGATAACAAAAGTATGCATATAATTATAAATGCTTAAAAACTATATTGTATAGGGATAAAAAATATTTTTCCTGAAGGACTTGTCATGGACTATATATTAAAAATTACTTAAAAGTTGAAAATGCATTGAATGGAATAATAATAATATACAAACAAATAAATGTGTTCTTTGCTTGGTCCTTCTTTCAGATATAGTAACGAAAGTGACTTTATTGCATAAAATTATAGGTTTGGATTAGATAGCACTATAGGCATTTCATTAAATTTCAACTTTACCTTGGCTGTCTAAAATCAAAAGAATTAATCTTTATTCTTTTGACTTGACTTGCAAGTCAGATATTAAGAGATATTATACAAGCGAGATATTATACGTTAATTTAGTTCATGTAAATAAGTACAGTTCAAGTGATTGTTTATTCAAATAAATGACCATTTTAAACATTGATAACCCCTTTGTAAGCTATGTTAAGCATCACCAGTGGCACTGATAATAGAGTAGATTACGTATTTGTTATTTTGTTATAATGTATACATACAAAAATTTTGTAGCAATTATTTTTATTCCTTTCTTAAAATAGTTTCATGTTTGTACTTCTATTAACTGAATTATGTATATATGTATTTATTTAAGAATCCATTTAGTTTTCTTTATTTCTTATGATGCTCCACTTTGACTATGGGTTTAAGATGGTTATATCACCACTTTTAGCAAAAGAACCCCACATATTCATCTGCCAATTTTATATTTAACTAGCAGCTCACCCTTGCTTTGGGTTTGCCTCTAGAAAAACAAAAACTAATTTATCCCACGAGAACCTTACGTTTTCCGGGATAAAAAACTAGCCTACTTGCTATTACAGACTATAATCTATCTCTGTGCCAAATTTCATCCAGATCCGTTCAGCCATTCTGGCGTGATTGAGTAACAAACATCCATCCAAACATCTAAACTTTCACATTTGCAATATTAGTAAGATTAATGATTGACTGATGGAATCTTTTATTGCACCATTAGCCAAGACTAACGACATAGTAGTGACATGGACGACGTTCAACGACACCCAAGAGTCGCGAGTGCAGTATGGCGAGGGGGTGATGGATATGGAAGCTACTGGTACCAGCACACTGTTCACTGATGGAGGGAAAATGAAGAGAACTATGTGGATACATAGAACTGTGCTACCTGACCTTAAGTTCGATACAAAATATGGTAAGTTTTTTTTTGCTAATAGGATAAATCTCGAATCTACTATTTAATACATACAGTAAGTTCCACTTATTATTATCAGATATGATCATTTTCTTTTTAAAATTTTAGTCTTTTGATAGAGAATCTACTTCGGCAACTTTATTTGGTACTGTACATATTTTACTATTATGCATTATACATCTATTTGTAACAATCGACACTTCATTATATTTAATTATTGTAAAGTTTTTAACATATAACGCAAAGTAAATGCTACTCCATTTCCAGCTATCCGCGTATAACAATACAATATGTGTTTATAGAAGGTTTCCAAGATTTATTTGCTGAATTTGTCCGTAATGTATTGTCTTTTTCACCTCTTGCGGGCATCGAACCCGTTTTACAAAGTCAACGTTTTCAACTTCAAATATAAGGCCTGCCGCTACTATATACTTCCCTACGCTACCTTTTATAGTGACAAATGACAATTGGATTTTGTATACCTATTTTAGTTTATCATGCGGGTTCAGTGTTTGGCTGGTCCGAGATGTTCTCCTTCAAGACTCCGCCTAAAGGCGAGGATTGGGTCGTCCGCGCCGCCATATACGGCGACATGGGCAATAAGAATGCACACGTAAGACAATATTTTAAAATATTTTTACGAAATAAATAAACCACCTTTAAATCTCTACATTTTTTCATTGTTACGGAAAGTTTGTGTGCTAAAGGTTTATTAGCTATATGATTTAGATAATTATTATATTGTATTTTTATTTAAAAAAAAAAAAACAAAAATAATTTAAGTTCTGCTGAATTTCTTTTGCCTTTTGCCAGTTCGCAGGTCTGACTTGAAGCTTCTTCTTTCCGAACTGGTAGTAGACTCGTGACGTTCAGTAAAAAAATTAGTAATTTTATGCTGAATAAAAATGTTTAAATTTGAAATCATCTTATCATTTGACTGTGTGTGTGTTAGTCGAGCCAACATAAAAAACATGTCACATTTTATTAGAATTTTTAAATAGACAAACTAGTTTCCCTAGCATTCTTACGATTATACATATATACTCCATATGAAGTCGATAAACAATTTCAGTCCCTCTCTTACCTCCAAGACGAGGCTGAACGTGGTCACTTCGACCTGATCCTCCACGTCGGGGACTTCGCCTACGACATGGACACAGACGAGGCTCTCGTGGGAGACGAGTTCATGAGGCAAATACAGCCACTCGCGGCCATGGTGCCCTACATGACGTGTCCCGGCAACCATGAGTCTAAATAGTGAGTATCTTTAAAAGTAAACCAGCTTTTCAGATTTACTCGTAGATATATTGCCGTGAGAGACTCCCGTCATCATGATTTATCTAAAGCATTCGAAACGTCGGAAACCAAAAAACAAAATTAGTCTATGACAAATATTCGCGTTAAGAAATTATCATTGAATGCGTCTTGTTAGAATCCATCGAAGCTACGTTTTAATATTTAGAATTCCGTACCCAAACATAAACCTTATAATTTCGTCATGTCCGTTTGACAAATTCATTTTAGACTCAAAAGGCTATTGGTACTGGATAGGTCTTTAATTGAGATACCTACTTAAAAACCTAAGTGACTTTTTTATTCTGGCTAATAGTTACTGATCTTTTAAAGTCATTAATTAGGTAAAGCTAATTTAAAGGTTTTTCAGTAGCATTAAGCATCTAAATCGTAAGTGAATTTACATCACCGCATTCGTGAGGAATACATGTATAAGAGAACATAACAAATTTTCGTTAGACTTGTGAAATCCGCCAACCCGCACTTGACTAACGTGGTCGTCAAAGACCAGATTCCTCTCGTATTTAAGTGATACCCGGATCCAGAATTATTGTATTCAGCCCTTTTTAATGTCCCACTGCTGGGGGTGGGCCTCCCTTCAATAGGAATGGATCGAGGGGGATGAGGCCATAGTCCACCATGCTGGCCAAGTTTATTATGTTATTAAGGCGAGTATTATTATTATTTATTAATCAATCTCAATGAATTTTCAGCAATTTCAGCAACTACCGAAACAGATTCTCTATGCCTGGTTCCTACGAGAGCATGTTTTATTCGTTCGACATTGGTCCTGTACATTTTATTTCTATCTCCACGGAATTCTATTACTTTTTGGAGTATGGATTCAAAATGGTGGCCAACCAATATGAGTGGCTGAAAAGAGACCTGGAAGAGGCTACGAAGCCGGAGAATAGGTATGAATGTTTTTATTCATTTAGAAGTACTTGCGATTTCATTTGCGAAAGTTTATATGTGTTTGTTTGTCACTCCTTCACGCTGTAGCGGTTAAACGGATTTGGGTGAAATTTTGTACACGGATATATTCTGACTTAGATTAACTAAGCGAGTGAAAATCGCTAGTTGTCACATAAATAACACAATTTAATATAATATATAACCCGTGATGTTATAACATCACGGGTTCCGTACCTCAAAAGTTAAAAAAGAACCTTTATAAGATCACTCTTGTCCGTCTGTCTGTCTGTCTGTCTGTCCGTGTGCCACCACCGATTTCCTCAGGAACGGGTGGACCTAGCAAGTTGAAATTTATACCAGATACCGAGATCTATAGTCCCCATTAGGTGTCTAAAAATCAAGGTCCTGGGTCAACACGATAAAAAGATATGGACAAATTTAGATTTTCGCGAAAACTTGTAAGTACCAAAATTTACCTTAATTTTCAACTTTTAACAAGTTTTTGTCAAGCTTTAACCAGTATAATTATTACTTTAAGATCTAAGCGTCCCTGGATAATAATATACGGCCACCGTCCCATGTACTGTGGGAATGTCGGGGACGACTGCTGGAACAATTTCCTGCCCAACCGAGTTGGTCTCCCGGTGTTCGGCTGCGGTGAGTAGGCATGGCTCTATGGAAACTGGTTTATTTGCAGGAAACTCAGGCCCTGGCTGATTTTGTATGGACACAGACCGATGTATTGCAGCAATTCAGACGATATAGATTGCAGTGTGGAATACACCAGGAAAGGATTGCCGTTTTTGGGATTGTTTAGTGAGTATTATGATGAGTAAAGAAAATGGCGGAATTAGTTTTTCCTTTTCCCATTGTTTTCTTTTTACATACTCTTCGTCGAGCAGGACTTTTTTTACTTCTGCTTCTTTAAATATTTCTTCTAATTGTTTCTAAGAGTGCTAATCATCGTGCATGTTCATTGTCTTATACGATAACTTTACTAATAATTCTAATTTTAAGATACAAAATAGATCAGTTTTAGTGTTTAATCAATATGGCTGAAGATTGGAAGGCTCTAACTTTTGGTTTTTCTTTCCAATTTGTGTTAAAAACATTGGGATTTTTTCTGAGTATATGTCGAGTATATCTGCGCCATGTTCTCGCTCCGGTCATATCCGGACTATGGGAGTAAAGGAATAGTTCAACAGATAGAAAATATATTGGATATTTTAAAGACTTCACTCTGTACTACATTATCATTAATATCCAACATGTTCACATAAAACAGTATTACAAATATACTTCATATTAAAATTTATTACTCATTCTTTCTAGAAATTGTATATAATAATCATACACAACTTGATATTTCGTCTTTTCGTGCTTTCGTCTAGCGCCTTAGTTCCCTAAGAGGTTCAGATGAACCTTCAGGGATCCAAGGGGACCCTACGGGGAACGAAATCTTCACATTTTTTGTCGAGTTTTGGGAATATGGTAGAAATGTAGCTGCAGGGGGTCCAGCGGGACCAGCTAAGTTTTGAAAGTGGTCTATGAGAAAAAAAGTGTGGGAACCTCTGGTCTAGCGCATTATACGTACCAGAAGTAACAGAAGTGACGTAACCCGCAGGCCTGGAGCCGCTGCTGCGGCAGTACGGCGTGGACGCGGTGGTGTGGGCGCACGAGCACAGCTACGAGCGCTCGTGGCCGCTCTACGACCTGCGCGTCTACAACGGCTCGCTGGAACACCCCTACGTCAACCCCGGGTGAGTCCTTATACCTCAAGCCTCGCAATGGCTCTTCCGATACCCTATTTTAACGTTGGTAACGTTGGTGTTTTTTTGATATTCACCGGCTAAAAAAGTCACAATCCCCCGCCTTAATGGGGCGGAAATGGGCTTAACCACGCCGCCCCAAGAGCAGGTCTGCCGAAGCAGACCACAACAACCACGGGGTTGCTCCAAGGTCCACTCTGCTATCAGAGAAGTACCAGGAGCAGCCCGCACGGCACACCGCCCACCGAAGTGGATCGCCTCCCTGAGTGTCTCTTGACTTTGTCATTTCATCAGGTTTCAAAAGTAGAAAGCTCTAAGAGATACAAATATAGCAATATTTTCTGAATACTTTATTAAAATTTACAAAAAATATAATAAATTATTATATTAGGTATATTATTATCAATAAATTATCCTATACACACATGATCACACAAGATTTTTTTTTAAATTATATACGGTTTATAATTCTATCGATCTATGTTTTTGTATTTTCTTAAGATAAAACTATCTCTCTTAATTCAAAACATAAGTGTTACGTATTTTTGTGGAAATTATCATTAATTACTTGCAATAAAATGTATGACATCGACAAAAAAATGTTCTTAATGAAAATTCTAGAAAATAATAAAACGCTATTATAGTCAGTAAACGGTAGTCATAACCAGGTGTGAGCTAGAAGAAGTAGAAACTCGTCTCTTTGACCCATAAATTAGCTCTGCAGGTCTATAACCATCCGTGGTCGTTTTTTCACGACGGTCCATTGTTCCGCAAAAGAAGAATTTTCGGCGAAACGTTACACACTTCACATCAGGGTTTTTTCAATATTTGTGTTTATGTGAATGATAAAACGTTTTGCAAGGTAAATCATATTTATATGTACTTTCATATATATTCATTATTATTTTTTATGTTTCTTTCGAACATCGAACGCATCAATTTATATGATTATTTATTACATCTTTGCTGATGTAGATTTGTTTTAGCTAATTATTTAGTTGCTGTTATAAACATCAAATAATGAAAACAGCAGTTCTATTATATAAATCACTATTGCCACCGAGTGGACATTTTGCTAACAAAATAATATTTATAAATATGTGTTATTTGCAGTGCGCCGGTCCACATTATCACGGGGTCGGCGGGCTGTCAGGAAGGCACGGATAATTTCAATCGTAAGTATAATTTATTTTATAAAATGCCTAATTTGTAAATAAAATGGCTAACCGTTTTCTTGTTGAACTTTCTTTATTTTTACGTCAATTAATTTCGTATAGTAAGTAGGTAGTAATATGTATTGTAATTCTTATTTTTATCCTAAATCCAGTCTATGCTGAAGTAAGTTATTATTTTTGACTATATAATATGTATGTATTTAAAGTTATATATGTGCAGTGTATCAACTATCTGGTATCCATAACATAAGCCTCATAGCTTACCATGGAACTAGATGGCGTTGTGTTAATGTCCCAACATATTTATTTTATTATTATGTAATAATTCTAATGAGTACCCAAGGTGGTCCATTTTATTCAAGTTTGGTCCATTACATTGTATGATTATTCCATTTTTGTTTTGATTTTCCCCTTTGTAGAACTTAAGGGTATAGGTACTATATAAATCTTAAGAATAAATTCCGCCCGTTAGGGAGGATGAGTGGCGGTACAGCGATAATTATTTTCAAACTGGTTTTGATGCTTATGTAGTCTTTAATTCATAATAATGATATGTCTAGTGATTATTTCACACGTGGTCCATGACTAAAACGTAACGTGGTGTGTGTCGCAGCGCACCCGCCGGCGTGGTCCGCCTTCCGCTCCGCGGACTACGGCTACTCGCGCCTCGAGGCCCACAACCACACGCATCTGTACATCGAACAGGTCACTTTATTCATTAAATTACTTTATTGACGCGTCGTATGGAATGGATATATCAGTGGCGAAGGGTGGTGATGAAGGGAAACGTCTTACCTAAAATGTATTTTGCTATAATTTTACATACATTTAATTTTTAAATGTATAAATGTTCTTTTGGAAATATATATATAATAATAGCTTTATTTCTTTCTGCATTAATACGTATATAAAAATTGAATATTTTTGGGAACGGCTTACCTCTGCTAAAATTTCATCCTTCGGCACTGCTATATACCTACATAGGTATGATGAGCTTTGTATCCCTTACTTGATTGATCGATTCCCCATACAAACTTCCACCCCCTTTTTCACGCCCTTAAGGGATGATTTCCGGGATAAAAACTATTCTATGTCGTTCCCGAGTCTCAAACTACCTCCATACCAAATTTCATCTAAATCGGTTTAGCGGATAAGGCGCTAAAAGGTAACAGACAGACAGAGTTACTTTATTATAATATAAGTATGTATTGTTTGATATTATTGGATTTAGATGGTAGTTCAATATTATTGATATTGGATTGTTTTTAATAAGAGGGGGATCAGGCCATATTGTATTAATTACTTATTTATAATTGTTGCTTTTTCTTTTTTTTAAAGGTTTTTAACATTAATTAATATTTACAATTCAATTACATAATTCGCTATTCTGTATATATATTTTTTATAATTGTTTTTATTTTTTTCCAGGTGGATGTGGACCTCAAGGGTCAGGTGATAGATTCGGTGTGGATCGTCAAGGACAAACACTTGCCCTATGATATATGATTAATGATCATTTTAAATTTAATGTAATAATGTAAAACTATACCAAAATATTGCACCTCAAACTCGTACACAACAAATAAAACCACTAACATAGAAATAAAAGTAATAAGTTAATGAAAACAAACAATTTTCTCATGGTACAAATATTTTTTAGAAAATTCCTTGGATTTATCTATACAGATAAATAAAATTGAAGTGTCTGTGTGTAATGTAAAAATAACAGCTTTTTACTAAATGCATATGCATACAGAGTACTTACAAGAAAGACACATTTTTAAAAAAAAATTGTCTGTCTATTTGTTCCGGCTAATCTCCGAAAGCGGGGGTGAGTCGCTAGTATAGAATATAATATGTTTAGGCTAGAAAATTTAGATTTGGGTCTAATTTAACTCAAGCTTTACTAATTTTATTTTTAAGGAATTACTTTATAGTGAGACATATATGTGATATCGTCACTCATTTTGGATTATATTTTACAATTAAAATGATTTTAGAAGATTATTGGCTTTCATTCATCTCAGTCCCACAACTTTCTGACGCTATTTAAAACAAAGTTGCTTGCGGTGGATTATTATATCTGAATACATAATATCATAATGTTATATACCAACGTTTGTGTTGAGGACACATTGTAACGGCTGAACAGATTTTAGTGAAGTTCAGCTGATGGTGATAGCTTTTTATGATGGTGGAGATGGTGTTAACTGTTTATCGAACGAAGTACCAAACAAAAGAGGAGCCGCGGGAAGACATTAAAAGTTTAATATGAAAAATAAATTTTAATTACATAAAGTAGACAGAGAAAATGTCGATTTTTACATCTAGTGAATTTTCATTTCTCTTTTAAGAGCTTTATTTAACAGACTTCAAAAAGGAGGAGTTTCCCAATTCGATTGGTTTTTTTTACGTATGTACACCGATTACGAGATTTATGATCCGATTTATGTGATTTTTATTTAGTTAGTTGCCATTTGGTCCCATAAAAATTTAACATAGTTTGGCCCAGTAGTTTTCATTTTATGAACATTTTTGTTTATGTGGACGATGTAATTTTATTTTAGTTTGTGTACGGCTTTTTAGAAGTTTTCATTTAGGTTGATTATATATTATTAACCCGTGTCCAAATAAGGATTTATTAGGCTACCTGTAGAGAAACTGAGAAATATTTTATTTTTTTTAATTTATTTATTTAGGTACAGAATTAGAAAACAAATTAAAAAAAATGCATCTTCGTATTAAAAACTAAAAATCATAACCAATCGTTACATTTACAGAATAACCTATTACAGACACTAAAGAGTAAAAAAAATCGACTTCAAAAACTAAAAAGTATAAAATAACTTATAAAGATTTAATTTAATACACCTCTTTATGCAAACCTTAATACCTTTAATATTAATAAAATAATATTATTTGTATGTGCTACCTATTGATAGATTGAAGTCACAGAATCAGAAGAAGTGTATCTTGAATGAGTATAATCAAAATGTAAATAAAAATTTTATTCCTATGACATAACATTTTAGGGCTCCGGTGCACATCGTGACGGGTTCCGCGGGGTGCCAGGAAGGAAGGGATCATTTTAGAGGTGAGTTTTTATATACCATATTTATTCTAATGATAATTATTGTATCCTTTAAAAGAATTAAACGGACTGACTGACTGTGATCTGAGTCTCTATGGTCAAGTCACAGAACTAACTTGAACCGATAAAGACACTGTCTACGACCAACCTGAGTGGGGAGCGGGGACTGCGGCCGTCGCCGGCTCGCATTCACCCACTTACTTACTTCCTTAACTTATATTTAAAACAGCCAAGCGATACGATACATTATTATGTATATTATAAAGAAATATAGTTTGTGTTTCAGTTTAAATAAATACTTCATTTTGTTGTCCACCCCCAGTACTAATAGTTAAACCCCACTTTTTTTTTATTTTTTATTTTTTTTATATAATGGCTTATAGTTGCGTTAACAGACGCAATCCATTCCGCCAGTGTCACTAAACCCCACTTTAACAGATGATTTAATCAATATTCTATGTAAAATATTATTTTAAATGTATCTATAGATCCAAATATAATCAATGCGTTTAAAATGTTTGCATTAAATGAACAGATAACCCGTTTAAATGGTCGGCGTTCCGGTCACAGGACTACGGGTACACCAGGTTCAAGGCGTACAACAAAACTCATATAAACATAGAACAAGTAGGTATCTGAATAAATAAATAAAAACCTTTATTTAATTCCATGCAAAATTAGTTACAATAAATTATTAACAGTTGAAAATTTTAAAATAAATAGCGTTAATTGTTTTATGTGGACCGAGGACTTTCAAATTTGTCTGCCCATAGCTATGTATAATATAATAATACTATAATTATAAATGAGATAGTTTGTATATCTGTATGTTCGTTACTGATTTGCGCTGATATACTTAACTGGACAGGTTCAGATAAAATTTGGCTTTAGCTTGCTTGCTAACTGTTAGGTAGCTAGGGACGCTCGCGAGTGAAGCGAGGGTGAGTCAGTAGCGTGACATGAAGATTTATGTAAGTATTTTCTGACTCCTTACGACCAGTACACTTTCTACAAAATCAGGTTTAAGATTTTTTATACAATCAATACTTATTTGTACATATAGATTGTCTAGGTACTTGATAAAATAACCCGTACGTGTGTTTGACCCATGTAAATTGTACATAAGTAATCATAATGTATGAAAATATTTGGTATCACCCTATCTGATTATCAATTTATATAATACTAGCATTGCCCGCGGCTCCGCCCGCATTCAGATGACCAAAAAGCAAAATCTCAGGTTTTACATATTAATATACTCTTACATTGCAGTTTTGTATTTTTTTCAGAAGCGAGACATTTTCCCGCGCCATATAACCAGCCATCACCATACCAAATTTCATCAAAATCCCTCCAGTGATTTTTGTGTGATGCGGTAACAGACAGACGGACAGACAAAAATTCTAAAAACTATAGATTCGGCCTCTGTATCGATAATAATGTCTATTTCAATAAGATTTTCCAAAAAATATTTAATGTACAGATTCGGCTCAGTTAGAATTTTATTATAAGTATAGAAAAGACACTGAACATATTATATAATATTATATTTTTATAATACTTTTTAACATTTTATACTTTCAGGTGTCTGTCGATCTCGAGGGACAAGTCATTGATACATTTTGGATTATAAAAAACAATACTACTTTTTAACTGCAGCAATGAATGTGTTTGCTCCTAAAAAGTAATGTCGATCGACTCGACTTTGTTTAAAGCCTAACATTCCATCTTTTAGTGTTTTGCAAATATACCTACTAATGAGTGTTTCACCCCACTGACCAATTGGTAACTGGCAACTGGGTATAATTATAATTTATAAATAACTTATTTCTTTGGAGAGAAAATGTAACTGAATTAGATCAGCGGTTCCCAATTTTTTTTTGGCCACAGAACCCGAATTATGATCATATTTTAACGGATCCCCATTTTGAAAATAACTAAACAGATGTAATTAGAATATTTTCTTCTTTGACTTGAAAATCATAAATGAAAAATATTAACTTATAATAATATTAAAATGCACATATTCATTTACTATTTATAGTACTTACATTAGGTTTGATGTCTGACGTTTTATTTAACTCTCGGACGGAAAGGTAAGGTTCCACGGACCACCATTTGGGAACAGCTGAATAATGATCACTAGTTCCAGAGTTAATCTCTCAGACACTCACAAGTTTTACCTTTTTTTTTAAATTCAGTTAAGTTTATTGTATGTTTATCTATTTCTATGAAAATAATTTGAAGCTTTTTAAAATGTATCTGAATATAAAAAATACTCAATATTAATGCTATATAATAATATTCCTATAATTAAATGTTTTATTTTTAATTTCCAATATTAATGTTTCATTGTTTCTGTTATTGCAAGTTTTTTATAATTTATGAATTTTCATTTAATAAATATGAAATTGATTAATTAATGTCTTTCATTTATTCCTTTAGCACGGTACCTGTGGCTTGCAGTGAAATATTATTTAATACTGATGACCTGGCCACCTTAATGCATATCATTTTCTATACAGATAAAAAAAAATTAAAGTGTATATTTGTAATGGCAACATAACAGCTTTCTACTAAAAATGCTTATGAAAAGCCATTTATACCATTATGGTGTTAAGAAAATCAATTTGTAAAATTTTTGTCTGTCTGTCAGTTTGTTTCGGCCAATCTCCGATACGGCTGGACTCATTTTGACGGGACTTTCACTGGCAGATGATATAAGGAGTAACTTAGGCTTCTTTAATTTAAGAAAAAGTATTTTCTGCTGAAAAAAATTAAAACGTACCGAAGGGCAGACCCGAGCGAAGCAAGGAGCTAGTTTCTTCATAAAAGCCGGAATTTTTTTAAAGCTGTAAATATTGAAATATGAAAATCTCTAAAAATATTTTAATTTAGTTATAATCTTGAGCTTTTTATGCAATGATTAAGAAACAAAAAATATTTCTAATATGACTGCAAATTGTTTTTTTAGTAAAAACTGTAAAATCAATGGAAACACTAATGATAAATGAAAAATAATATTTTATAAAATTAATTTATTTCCAACTCCTATGTGGTTTATTTTTGTAAAATCTTTGTTTATTCTTAAAATTTAATGAGAAGTTCCTCGTACCATTCTTATGTTTACTGATGCCATTATTTATTACTAGTTGTTTTTGTTTTGGTTTCTTTGCTTTCTTCTTCTTTATTTCTGTACTTTCCGAGTTAGAAAGCAACTGTTTAAGAAAGCTTTTTTCATCATTCTGCTCATATATATTAACAGCTGTAGCAAAATGTGATAATATCTTTTGTGCCAATTTAGGATGAACTGCCACCGCACAGTTTCTATTATGCTCTATTGGGTCTTGGACACACATGAAACTGTCTAGACGGAGCGGTTGATATTGGTCACTACTAACACATGATTTGTAAATATTAAATAACATAGGAACTGTATCCGTTCGGGAAAATAGTTCTTTAGCTATGGGCTGACCGACAAATGGTGATATGATAAAGTCATTAAATTTAAATTTATGATAATATTTGAAGAAGCCCCCGATCAATTGGTATAGAGTTTCATTATTGTTATTCTCATACGGTACCTCACTAAAAGCCGCATTCCAACCATTAATGTATAATCCTGGTCCATTCTGCAGCTCAGATATTGCAGGCAAGATATGCTTTTGTTGCAAAAAGAAAATAACTAACATTGTCAAACAATAGTTAGCCAAGAGATTTGTGCCAGTGAATTTGTGTACTTTTGACCAGTACTTAATAAGAATAGTTAACTTTAGAAATCGCTCGTCTAAATGCAATAAATAAGCTATCAATTTACTATTTTGAACACCCATGAAGCTGGTGAAACTGATGTCACAATTCCTTTCTGTTGGTACATGAAAAAACTTAACAATGGGCACTTTTGCATTTATTATTGCAAATAGCTGATCAAAAATATCCCTGCGTTTCATTAAAATATATTTAGCTTTTAATACAACAGATCTTTCAGTGTTCAGTACCCAGCTTGGTACTTCTACGTAGCAGTCAACATCACTTGACTTTATCCCGAGCCCTGTGATTATAGAACCAAATGGCATTACAATACTACCTGAAAATTAAATTAATATTTCATTTGTTAAATAAATGTTTATATTTAATTATATGTTACAAAAAATTAACCCAATGTTTTCAAGTTAAAATTTAAAAATAAGTCAAAGTGCAACTCTATATTTGATCAAAAATCAAAATAGCTTTTACATGTTTTCTGAATTATAAAAAAGTAAAATATTCTACTAATTTATTACCTGGCCATACTGCACTGAAGCTCTGGTTCAGATCATCCAATAACATTTGCAAATCTTCAACTTCTTGCCTCGTGAGCCTCACTTCCTGGAAAATCTCTTGTATTTGTTCCTCAAAATTTCCTTCATAGGAGAACTGAGATGTATCTAATATATCTGTAAATAATATAATATTCAGCAGGTAAGAGCCCTATATTATAAATTCACTTAAACAAATATGATTTTTGACATTTGCAGAATTGACTAAATGTAAATCTCCTACAGAAATGAAATATATTTGTTGTACTGTAAAATTTATGTAAATGCTGTTTAAAGCATGCAATAAAATACATCGAAATTAAAAATATAAATTATTTGTAATATATTAATGATGTACATAATTAATTATTATAAATATACATTGTGTAGATTCAAATCACTTCTTAATTTACCATTTTGGTCCATATTGATTACAATTCTTCAGTACCTAAATGTTTTGATCACTATAGAGTAAATTATTTATTGAAAGATATTTCTCGATACTGGTAATGTTATTTCATTAATATGAAATATCGCTTTTATCACTTATGCACTCAATAATAAAATACTGATAAAAAAACATAGATTTAAATAACATTTATTTACATCAGCTAAAAATTTCAAATTAAAAAAAATTAAATTACTATACGTCAATCAAATTTGTCATATGTCATTTATCTGTTTCGCGTTTAGAAATTTGAAATTTCTATTTATAATGCGATATATCCGCGGGGTCGGGGGTTTCCCGATAGATAGGAATCGGTGTTGATCACATTTTTTATTTTAAATTTGACGCTCTAGAGTCTAGATTATTCATTCTAGACTCATCGTCAATGTGAATGAACATACCATTGCGTGCCTGCGATTTATTCTTTCATTATTTAACTTTTAATTCTTTCATTAATAAACTTGCAACTCCATTTCACATAGCCCATTTTATTTAAAATTTTGTTCAATTATGAATTTCAAAATATTTATATTAATTGGTTTACATATATACGTAAATGTTATATAATTTATGTCCAAAAGTAAACCCAAACCCTATACCTTTTTAAATGTTTACTGTCGGCATCAGTAGGTATCAGTTTTATATGTATGTTTTGTGATCTACACTAATAATATAAAGAGGCAAGGTTAATTGTTTGTTTGAACGCAAGGCAAATCTCAAGAAGTAATCAAATTTAAAGAATTCTTTTTGCATTAGATAGCCCGTTTATTGAGGAAGGTAAGTATATATCGTCAGTAAATCGGACAGACTTCCATACATTATTGTAAAACTATATATATTACTTATATAAATACACGAACCCGAGCGAAGCGAAGACGAGTCGCTATATAACATAAAGCTAGATTTTTTTGTAGATTGAACGCGGGCGAAGCCGCGAGTTCTACTAGTATTTATACATTTTAATGCATATTTTTTTTACCAACTTCACAAAAAGAGTACTTAGTTTATCTGTATATTTTGTTTGTGAGAATATTCTGAGGGTGCTGCCATATATAGATTTCAAAAAAATCCCCGCGAAGAATTGAAGAATATCATAGTAATTAAGTACTTTTTAAGCGCTTTTAAAATAGTATATGTTATTGTTAAAAAGCAAGATTATTTTCTTTTAGTCTGCAGACAGAAAGTATCCAATAGGCCATCACACCATCATCATAGAATTTAAAGTTTACTTTAATCGAACGGTTCCCGACATCGCTTCTTAATGAATAATTTTGAAACAAAAACATAGTGCCACACATTACCTAAGTTAACCTACCTTAGTTGCCATCGCTTCAGTCTTGTAAGACTATACTCAAAGGAAATTAAATGAAACAACATTCAAAGTTAACAACTTCAAATTTATATTATACATACAAAAATGAAATAAAATGAATAAATCAAATGACTTAGCCTAGTACAATGAATGATAATTCATAAGTCTCTTGCATGCATATGATACTTATTGATATCTGTCGCTTCCACACCAATGTCACACATCTTCATAAAATCATGATAACAAAAAATATTTTTTATTATGATCTCTTAAAATTATCAGCATCAAAAAAATATTTAGACGTAAAAAAAATATAGGTAATATATATCAAAGAAGATAAAAATGCAACATGTATAATCACAGTTGTTTCACATATTTCTACATATCTAATTTTTGTATATTAAAACAGGGCTCGAAACCGATTTAAAAAAAACGGTTTATTGTGGTTTTGTAATGGTAAATTCATAGCTATTTTAACCAGTTAATGAAAGCGAACGGTTTAGCAAACGTTAATAAGATAAAGAGCGTAACTGAAAACTTAAACCGAAAAGCCTTTCGGTTGGGGTCAATTACCAAAACCGGTTCAAAAATTGAACAAGTTTTCGAGCCTTGTTGTTTAAACACATGGATGATTAACAAACATACAGTTTATGAACTAAATGTACTTAATGGCTTCGACAAACATCGAAATTTAACGTTTTTTGTGAACATCAATTGCGAATTCTTCACTAGCATTTATTATATTTTATAGTAATAAATTACATCTAATTTTTACGTCGAATTAAAAGCAGTTTGATATCAAATTGGTCTATTTCGTCATGAATGTATACCTACATATATGATGAACACAACCTGCCAATATCAACTGGATCCGTGTGCCAAATGAGAGTTCGAAAATATATCAAATATATCAAAAGATGGCGAATGATTGTGTATTTACAAATTATTACAAAAACTTGTTTTTATAATCTTTGCAGATAAAAATAAATTTCTTATAAAAAAATCATAATTCCACATAAATCGTAGCTCTCTTCTCTCTACTTTATGTCTTAACGCTACATCATGTTATCTACTGAGATTTTATATGTAAAATTTTAAAATGATTACCCCTATTTTATTGACCTCCTTGTGTAAATAATATCGTCAATTTATAATAAGTGCCAGGACATATAACTAATATTTTATTATTTTATAATTTCTTAATCTTAGATCCAAAAATATGGGACACGTGCTAAGGCATGAGCGTTACCAACTGCTGCAGACTATTTATAATGGGTAAAGTTGCGGATAAGAGAACTAGTATTGTTAGAAAGAAGTGTTCCAGGCTCTGCAACATCCGGAAATGGACCAAGATATTAAAGGTTGAAGATCTGTTCAGGCTAGCACAGAACGAAGAAGAATTTAGAAGGATGATTGCCAACCTTCAGTAATGGAGAGGCACTTGAAGAAGAAGAAGATCAAAAATTGATTGAATGTTCAAGCCATCAACAATCTAAACATTAAGTAAAATTTTGGGACATTCATCTACACATTTATTTAATATCTCAAATTACATTTAATACTACGACTACTTCTGACTAACTTAAGTGTATATTAAAATGGCGTTACACCTATCACTTAATTGTCATAAAGTTCTCTCGGGGAATTTAACAGATGCCTGTATGGAAGATTGTATGAAAGGATGTTTAGTTGCCATTTATCATGATACATAATTAGGTTAAAACAATGATTTTAATGCGAATATGCTTTAAGATTAAAGTTACTAGTTTGTAAGTGCAATGAGATGAGTCAAAAGAAACATAATAAAGAAGATGAAATGATTTAAGAGTCCGATCAAGTTTAGACGCTACAATTTTTAATATTATGCATTTCATTAAAACATATTCGCATTTAAAACCCCACTGTTTTTAACCAAATGCTTTTGGGTTTTTTTCACATTATCGTTGGAGGTGTTAGAGTTTTGTATAGATAGATGATGGGATATTTTAAAGATATTTTCACTATGGAGTATCATGTTTTAGGCACAATCGAAGCAGACTACACTGGCACGCTAGGTACTTGTATTATTGTTTTCTTTATGTTTAGAGTCGTCACTGCCCGAGGTACTGGCGTCGTCAGACACTGTTACATCCACATTGAGATCCACTTCACTTTCTTTATTTTGCACATTATTATCTTCTTTGCTTTGCTCTGCGTTCTCTTTCTTTTTCAGATGTGGCCTCAGCAGCACTATAAACCATCCTGTCATGAATGACATAAAGAATTTCCCGAATTCCCTGTACATATTCCCTGTCTCAAATTCTTTGTCCGCTTCCAACTGTTTTAAGGACGCTACTGCAGTTTTGGTCTCGTTTGAAAAAGTTAGCGTTAATTGGATTTGAATGTTGAATGTCTCTTTGTCAACATTCATTATCTCATTAGTAATACGTCTTTGCTTTTCAGTAAAAGTTATCTTCATCATGTTGTACAATTTACTGAACTGCTTCCTTTTCCATATCGCTTTAGTGACTACGCCCGTATATTTCTCTTTTTGCTTTTTCGCTTCTGGATTGGGCTTCTCATCCACTTTCGTCAGTTTTATTTTGCATATGTCCTCAAATATGGATATAGTCACGTCCCGAACGACAGATTTCCAGTCTGGGTTTGTTATATTATGTATGTAGTGAGGGAAGATAACTGTTCGGAATTCGGGATTGTTTTTGCCTTTTGGTAGTTTGGGCTTTTGGAGTAATATCGTTTTCAACAGCCCCTTGCAGTTGTTCAGCTTCTCGTCATCGTATGCAGTGGCAGCGAACTTGAAGTACGCTATTATTTCAGATGACACCCTAGAATTGATAGCGGAGGCAACGTTGTGGCACAGTTCGAAGGGATCCTGGATGCATATAGACCTGGTAAACTTCAAAGGGCCGACCAATCGCTTCTGAATATTCTGCCTGTACCGTTTCATGTCTTCGGGCAACAAATTGTAATCCTTGAACATATCTTTCTTCAACGCGTACCCCAAAAACGGACACACGACGTACTCGTCGAAATTGAATGTAGAGTAATATTGGAAAAATCCGCCTAAAAGTTCGGATATTGAGGATGTGTTCGTTGATTTTGGCAGTTTGTCTATTTCGTGCATGAATCCTGTGTTCCAGGAATCTACTATGACATCATTTGCTGGATCACGTTGCAACCACTCCACCGAAGGCAGGATGGACACTGGCGGTTGTTGGAGATAGAATATGATGAGCATCGTGAGAGCATAGTTGGTCAGTTTGCCGGTGCCGGAGAACCCGTGGACTTTAGCCCAGTACTTAATCATGACCGCTAGAGGAATGAGTCGTGGGTCAGCGTGAAGGAAGAACGCTATCAGTTTACTGTTTTGAGCTCCCAATAAAGTTTTGAAGGTGACATCACAGTTCGTCGCTGTTGGCACGTGGAAGAATTTTACGATTGGCGTATTGGCTCTCGGGATAGCTAGTATTTCGTCGAATTTGTCTGGATATCTCAGTAGGATTCGCTTCGCCTTGTTCACGTAGTTAGCGCTCGCGTGGTGGTAGTAGCCCGGCACCTGTATGAAGCAGTCCGCGTCACTCGTCTTCACTCCCAACCCGGTGGTTATTGATCCGAAAGGTATTGCGATGCAACCTGTAGCAGAACGTTCGATTCTGAGTAAAGCAAATGTTTACATTTTCGACAAAAAATAAAATTTTATTTACTGAAATGATTTGTTATGAGTAAAGACTATGTTATGATTAATTATTATTATCATCCCGCTTTATATGCACCTAATATGGTTATCGTCATGACTGGATTTTTTTCTTTTGACAAGACTGTTTTTTTACTGCAATGTGTTTCTTTTAATAAAATAACAGTTCAAACTTACATAAATCTACCATGAGACCATTAAATCGGGACTACTATTGCGGGTATATTTGTGAAAGTATGCGTGTGTGTGTGTGTGAAAGCGTGCGTGTGTGCGCGTCAGGGTGCGTGTGTGTATAAATATGTGTATGTTTGTTACTCCACTCTGAACCACACACCATAGGCGCACAGACGTCGAGTTGCGGAAACAAGCCCATAATCAAAACAAATCAAAACAACAAAAGAATTTACCATACCATACTCCACGCTGAAACGGCTGGATCTGGAGAAATACACAGAATACTGTAAGGCATCTGATTACTAAAAGTATTAATAACATTACCTGGCCAAGCTTGTTGCAGGACCACCTCCAGGTCAGCGTAGAGGCGGCTGAGGGAGGTCACTTCCTCCTGAGTGAGGCGCACCGCGCTGAGCACACTGTCCAGCTGCTCGTAGAAGTCTCCAGAGAGATTTATTAGATTTGGTTCTACTATTGATCCCCCTGTAATAATATATAATAGTGTAAAAGTTTGTGTTTTTTTATTTGGCAATGGATCAACAGCAAACTTTTTACTACAACAGTAGGAACTCACCCTTTTGTTTAGTTTTTGGGAACTCTCTCTTCGGTGTGCCATGTTCACTTTTTTCCCTATTTCTTCCTTCTCCTTTTGGCGTGTTCGGTTCTATTTTACCCGAGAACGGCTTTACAGTGAGGAATTCACCGTATATATTAACCTTTCCAGAATTTCCTATCACTTCATTGGCTTCATCTTCTGTAGAAAACGCCAGTACAGCAAATTTTTTTGTTATTTTCTCTACCTTCACATTCCCATATTGAGTGAACACTTTGGTCAGATCTTGAGGCTGCGTGTAACTTGGGAATCCTGCAAAATAAAGCTAGGGATATATTCTTTACTTAGTAATACTACTATATAATGTGATGGTCCTTTATTTGGCATTTTTGTTTGTATGTTATGTGATAATTTCTTTAATGGAGAATTTCATTTTTTATCCGATGAAAAAAGGCGAGGTTCCCAATTCGACACGTATATTTTGTTTTTTTTTTAACGTTTAACCACGCATATCTTTTTACAGTTTAGTCCGATTTCGATGATACTTTTTTGTTGCTTTGTAATAGAGTTTACCTTCAAGTTTCCCCATTTAAATTTGAAAAAAAAACCACCCCTAAGTGTAAATAGGGGATGAATGATTTTTCACCTACTGAATTTTTAAAAATATTTTCTTCTTACTTTTCAACTAAAAATGTCTGCACTAAAAATGGATATGCTTAGGGAAACAGTTTTTATCAAAACATCAACATGGTTCAGTTATATTGCACAAAATTTACAAATAACATCGATTTTCCATTAAAATGTCAGATTTCACTGCAGTATATTGTTATACTGCTGCTGCTTATATTTTTTGTTTATAAATTATAATAATTTAAATTTTTGTATGAATGACAACTTGTCAAGAACAGTTATTGTGTTTTCTTATGGGAATGAGAGATTTCCCTGAAGTAAAAGGTAAGCTTAATATTGACCCGAGTGTTAAGTTATCCCTACACAAAATTTAGTTAAAATTTTAAGTAATTTTTGTGTGAAAAGTAAACAGATATACAGAAAAAAAATTAACAACAATATGTAATAGTCATTGTTTTTAAAAAATATTTCATGTACAGACTTGGCTCTGTAACTATTTTATTATATATATATGGGGGAATATCCTGGTATTATATTTTTTTAATTGATCAGTAAATTTGTATAAACATATATGTGTAACTGAGTGTTACTACAGACTATTTAACTAAAAGAGTTTGTGTAATGTTAAAATCACTATAACATTTCAAGACATTTAAAAATATCACCATAGGAACAGGATTATTTCTTCTAGTTGACATGGAATTCAATTAAGACACATTTCCCTTCAAAGTATATGATATTAAAAAAAAGAATCACTAAAATCGTTACAGAGTTCGCAAATATATTGCATATTATATAAAAAATGCAAAATTTATTACCAAATTGATTGCCATAATTTAAAATATTCCATTGAAGACACTATTGAAAGATAATAATATGCTAAATTAATTTACCTGAGATGTGCACTTTTTTTGGACAGGGACTAGACGTTGAGTCCATCATGGATACAGCTGTTGCCCTGGAATTTTTTTTACATAACATAAAATAATAAAAAACCTTTCTTAGACATTTACCAGACCATTATTATAAATGCAGAAATTTGTATGTGTTTGTTTGCTTCTCCTTCATGCTAAAAATGCTGGACGGTTTAAATGAAATTTTATAAAAATTAGAAGAACTGGAGTATATTTAATGATACACTTGTGTAATATTTAATGATATATTATTATAATTATAATATATATATATATATATATATATATATATATCATTAAATATTACACAAATGGCGAAACTATCATAGTATTGTTATATATAATATCAACACACTATTGGTTTTTATTATTTTTCTAAATGTAGCATAAGTTATTCCTTATAACATCAGCTCTCTGCCAGTGTAAGTTCCTTCAAAATCACACAGCAGGCAGACAAAATAAAAAAAAAACTTTCTTATGATTACTGCATATATTTTAAAAAGCTTTGTTACTTTAATATTACAAAGAGACACTTTAATTTTATTTATTTGTATAGATATGTAATTTAATTAACTGGCATAATATGACAATTATAATAACTTAGACATTATTGTTCATATCTCAACCAGTTTGTCTAAAGATTTAACAGACAGATAGAACATACCTGTATTTTTTGTAACTTTCAAGAAATATTCAGGCCTCAAATATCCCTGTTCATCACCTTCTGTCAATATAACACCATTTTCAGATTCATAAAATTTAAGACCTTCTGTCAAAGCTTTCTCTAAATCTATGTATATAAAAACTTGAGCGTCTTTACGTAGTCCGCTTATAACATTAGGGTCAGATAAGGTTCCCTTGGCAAAGTGTATATGCTTTCTTTCCATGCGACTCAAGCCTTGTATCTTTATTTGATTCCAGTTCGACAAATATGTACCATGGACAATTGTTTTGTACTTAGGCTGTAATAGAGCAAGGATATCTTCTGTAAATATAACAGTCTACAAATATTTATATGATTAAGTTTGATGTATCTAATTGTTTTATTATCATATAAAGACAGTTTGTAAAAATAACAAGTTAATTATTTGTTAATACAACCAAATAAACAATAATTATATACCTCTAATATTGATATTAATTCTTTATCTTCAATTTTCTTAATGGAGTGACCCTGATTTGCTTTTATCTCATGAACATTTTTCTCAACATTCAATCTTAATTTGAATCTTTTCTTACTATTATTATTAACAACTCTTTCAATATCTGCAAGATTGTATTTACCTCTCAAGGTTTTGTGTTGTAAAATGTCTAATGTAGATACATAACCTTCTGAACTGTGAATAAAACAAAGTAAAGCTCAGTTGTACAGTGTAATTTTAAATCTTTCTAACATTAGTTTTTTAGTGTTTAAAACAACACAATACTTTTACAAAAATCACATTTTTTCAGACATCACTTCATCTTTACTTATTCGCTCTATAAATTACAATTAACAAAATTGTAGGTATGTTTAATACATACAATTTTGTATAATACTAATTCATTGTTACCTTATTGTTAATCCCTCTTTAACAGCCCCATGTCTTAGAAGCCAAGACAATGTTTTGCTTAGTTGTGTATCTTTGTAATTCCTAAAATGTGAACATAGAAATAATAAACAAATAAAAGATAAAATAACACATGTCAAGCGAAGCTCAAGATTTAAATACGAAAACAAAAATATAAATATTCTTTTCTTATATAGTCTTCTCACTAAATACAAATTAATTACAGAAATATTATTAAGTATTTTTAGGTATAAAAATTCTTTTAAATTTACATTTACAGGAATCCCTGGACATTTAATCTTTTGTATTGCAATTATTTTACATTTACACAAAGTACTTTTGATTTTGTGACGGCGAGTGGCAATTTCAACGATGGTGCCAGGGTAAAATAATTGCATGCCATGTCGACTATTAATATTTATTTTATTATTGTAATGTATAATGATTATAAATTATAATATAACAATACAATAAATTAGACAACATATATGTAATATATATACATTTTTTTTCTAATAAATTTTTGCGCATGATTTACACGGACACAAATTGATTCCGACACATGTACACACGGAAGATATATATTTTCTCTCCGTACATGTAAAAACTCCAAGATATTTATCCTACATTAATAATTTAATATATAATTAAATTAATATAATTTACAAGTATTTCAAATGTATTTTTTTTATCTCCCTTAGCATTTTACAAATTCAACATGAAAGTTATGTTGTTAATAGACGATGAAATTTCGTCTGAATCAAATCAAGTTTTCGCGACAGGTTTGTATGTAGGTGTGATACATAGGGTATATTGCTACAACCACATATAAAATTTTTGCTATTTATTGATTTTTTTTTAAATTTAGAGTAATACTTAAATGTTTTTTTAAATTTTTAAACTATAATTTTAATTATTATTTTGAACATTACACCTTAGATGATGTTTTTCATTCAAACATGTTTAAAATGATTAAAATATTGGTATGAAGCATATTTTTGCAAACAAAACAACTAGACAATAAATTAGTAGTCTAAATTACGGAAACAAACACATTTTTTATGACTAAAAAATGAAAATCAATGATTAGTGAAGCATAGAGAATAGACACGAGTCCATAGACTCAGGTCAGCTGACACAACTTTTATCATCGGTCTTGTGATAAGTTGTTTCTCCGCCATTCCTCGATCGTCTTTTCCATCTTTATTGTCCCGTGAGTTGAATTTTATAAAATACATGGAAATTTAGGTCTTTGCTTGCTTTTTTCATTTGTGCTTGTGTTATTATAAGTGAACGTTTATTATATATTTACAGTGTTGGTAAGCTTTTACTGGTTCCTGCCATTTTCGTTTTTTGCACTACGACTTGTAATGTCATTTATTTTTTAAGTGTATTGCCGAATATTGATTTGCTTTCAATATATTTATTCAATATAAAAGATTAGGGTGATTATTTAAAGTGTAAAATGTATGTAATATATAGGAATTAAACTTTCTCCCATTTGTTCCACCCTTACTTTCATCATGTGACTTCGATCAGTACATTATTTAAGCTGATTAATTGCCCTAAAAGTACAAATTGATACGCCCTGAGGTTCATTAAATGTGAAAGAGTAAAACCAATTTTTGCTTAACGTTTTTGAAAACTAGCTGCAACCATACACTTTTGTAGAAAATGTAATGTAAATGATCCTATATATTTTTAATACTATAAAATGATCCATTTTTCATTCCTAGAAATAGTATTTTTAAATAATTAGACTAATAAATCAGTGTATTATTATATATTTCTTATATGATTCTTATTAGTTGATTATTTTTTATATTATTAAAATAAAAATGACAAAAAAAAATGTGGAAGTATTACTACTTTTTTACAGTCCTAAGATAAATTTGATATTTTCTTTTAGTCAATTTAGAAGAAACACTTTAAAGTGTTACAATCATATACATATTATTTTCTGATCTAAAAATTTATAGTATTTAACTTATGGCACTAGCTATATGGTATAAGTTGCTATAAAAATATATTTTTTATTATCTATTCTTAAAAATATGTTATAGATTTTGTATTATTTCCGAATATTCTATAATGATAATTTATCCCATATGACAAAAAGGATGGCCATAAAATACTGCAATGACAAGAATTAGCAAAACTGTACACTATAATATGCCAATGAATTAGATATTTTTTAATAAAACTACCGTACATACAAATTTAAAAATATTAGCTTAACAGATTATGTAATCAACATGGGCATCACATAAAAGCCTTCTTTGTCGTAACACCAGCAAAGTAATGGAGTATATAAGCCAGGCTTAGGGTGTTCAGTTACTTTTCTGATGTTATTTCATTTTCACATTTTATTAATTTTTGAATTCCAATTAAAATTCAAAATTATTATTTTTGTGCTTGTGGGAAATTACTTTGTAATTCTACCCCTTTGTTACCAGTTTGTTTTGATTAATGTACTATATATAGATATGTACATAATTGAAGTGAGTAACAAAAGACCCTATTTTAATAGTAAAATTTTGGAAAAAATAATTTTAGCTGAGATTAATAAGATTGACAGTGACTGATGATCCTTATCAAGGAGTTTGATAAAGAATTGATTGGCTGATCTATCTCAGTCAGCTGTCTTGCAAGCTAAGTGGTAGGAACTATAATTCTACTTTTGTATTAAAAAAAAATTCAAGGTAGAATTTCTATAAATAATATTATTTTTTTGCCTATAGATATACAATTTTTTAAAACATAAAAAGTTAAAAAAGAAATGAAATAATGTAGATAAGTCATAGTCATAAAATATATATATTTTTTTTATGAAGTAATCTTTTTCAGTCTAATTTATAAAATAATGTAATCATTTTTTATTTTAAATTCTATTATTAATTTAATTGATCATCTAAAATAATTAATTACAAACAAAAGTTAACTTTATGGAGAGAGGATATTTAAAATCTTCCTTTTGGTAGGAACTATGTGTGGCTAATTGTGAAGATCTTTTGTACCAATTGTATTAGTTGTGCCTAAATTCAGCTTACAATTTTTCTTGAGTTCATTATTCTAAAAATACACTTTAAAAATATGACATAATTTTCATTTATTATTTTACAGACAGAATAATATATTCAAAATGGCGGCAAAGGGCAATTTGAGGATGATTGCCAATGAGGAGAATGAGGATAGATTCGGTTACGTTTTTGCCGTGTCCGGTCCTGGTATGTAATTTCACTACACAATCACTTTCGTACATATTTACAATATAAGTAACAATTAAATGAAAAGAAAAAAAATCTAAATACTATGCCATAGGTTTATCCTTGTTATATTTTTAATGGAAATAAAATATTATAAACTATGTTGAGGTTACACAAAGGTAAAAAAAGTCAAGTCTGTGGAATCAAAAATCTCATTTCTGCATAAATTTTGAAAATGGATTTTGACTTAAACTTTATGTATGATGCAAATATCAAAATTATCAAGTCTTATCTATATTCTTTCTACTATAGGGTTTTGTATATTTGTAATTTTTGTACAGTCGTGACGGCGGAAAAAATGTCGGGATCCGCTATGTACGAGTTGGTGCGCGTCGGTTACAACGAGCTGGTGGGAGAAATCATCCGTCTTGAGGGTGACATGGCCACCATCCAAGTGAGTCGCGAGTAGCTTTGATAATTACAGAGACATCGATATGAAGGTTTTGCATAAAATTTAAAATCAGTCCTTTAGCAACTAACATGAATTTTAATAATAATGACTATTTATTAGGTATACGAAGAAACCTCAGGTGTAACAGTGGGTGACCCCGTACTGCGTACCGGCAAGCCTCTGTCTGTGGAACTTGGACCAGGTATTCTGGGCTCCATCTTTGACGGCATCCAGAGACCTCTAAAGGATATCCACGAGCTGACTCAATCTATCTATATCCCCAAGGGTATTAACGTCCCCTGCCTGGCCCGTGAGACAGACTGGGAATTCAACCCTCTAAATGTTAAGGTAGGTTTGTTTTTTATCTATGGTATGATATGAATAAAGTGTATTTCTATATAAATTTTTTAAAGGTCACGGATAAATATATGTACAGTCAACAATGCAATTTTATCATATGCTCTCAGGATTATAACAAAAAATTTTTTTTTATAATTTTTCAATATTTTTCATCCCAATTTTATTTAAATTAATCTAGATAAGTTGAGACAAATATGTTGTTATTGGGGTTAATATTTTCCTCAGATTTCAAAGAGGTACTGGTGTAAAGCAAAGTCGTCACAACCTATGTTTGATAATTACTTTTAAAATCAATGTCAAATTAGTGCATTTCTTAGTAAAATGTGAAGATTTGCCACAAACTTAACAATAATATTTCCTCCATCAGGTCGGATCCCACATCACCGGAGGTGATCTGTACGGTATCGTGCACGAGAACACCCTGGTGAAGCACAAGATGCTGGTACCACCCCGGGCCAAGGGAACTGTCACCTACATTGCTCCTGCCGGCAACTACAAAGTCACTGTGAGTAACGACTTATCTGAGCTATACTTAAGTTTATTTTAAAGATTTGTTTTATATTTACAATAATTAAGGGTATTATAGACACAAATTTTTGAATGTATGTTAAATTAAAAAAGAAAACTACAAAGAGTTTACAATCTTGTAAAAAATGTTTTGCAAACGGAATTCATATAACTTGATGAGTTAACATTCAGAAAGTGTTGATAAGTTCTCAGGACTGAGCTATTTATTTTTGAACTTTATCGCGCGGATACCTCCATGTTTGAGAGATATGTTAAGTCATTTTTTATTAATATTGAGAAATTTACGCATACCACCTGCATGCATACACCTGCATATATGCGTTAAGAACTGTCCAATAAAACTCAATAGAATATGACAATGAAGTTCCGATATTAATCTGTGCTGCCAGATCGTATAATTGGATACAAAAAGTGTATATGTGATTTGGTTGTCTTATGTATCCAGTGTGCATAGGAAATTGCCTTGTAAAATTGGATACAACAATAAAAATAATAAATCAAATAAAAAAAAAAAACGTACAAATCGATTTTAGGTATAATGGAATTTTTGAATCTGTTATATTGTGATATAGTTTATGCAGGTGTGAATGTGTCATACAGTAATTTAAATTATTTAAGTTAGTACAAAGTATAATATGTATGTATTAATTTATTGTGTAGGTTACTCTGGAATGAATATTAAATTATTATCACACAAATAATAAGATTTGATTTTGTATAATTTCAACTAGCGACTCACCCTCGCTTTCCTCGGGTTTACTCCTAGCTTGATTCCCCATACAAACTTTCATCCCCATTTTCACCCCCTTAAAGGATGATTTTTGGGATAAAAGGTATCCTATGTCCTTCCCAGGGTCTTAAACTATCTTACCAAATTTCATCTAAATCGGTTTAGTAGATCCAGAGATTACCCCCTACAACGTCACAAACTCACAAATTTTACCTCTTCATAATATTAGTATAGATAACCTAACGGTATAAAATAAGTTGACTCTACTGGAAGTTCCGATACTAATGCTAACAACGGCTACAGGACATAGTGTTGGAGACGGAGTTCGACGGCGAGAAGGCGCAGTACAGCATGCTGCAGGTGTGGCCGGTGCGCCAGCCGCGCCCCGTCACGGAGAAGCTGCCCGCCAACCACCCGCTGCTGACGGGGCAGCGCGTGCTGGACTCGCTGTTCCCGTGCGTGCAGGGCGGCACCACCGCCATCCCCGGCGCCTTCGGCTGCGGCAAGACCGTCATCTCGCAGGCGCTCTCCAAGTACTCCAACTCGGATGTCATCATATACGTTGGGTGCGGGGAGAGAGGTTAGCTTTTTTTTTGTTATGTAGTTTTTTTTGAAATGTATTATAACTGGATGTCAGATGAGCTTTGGGCTAAGCTAACAACTTCTTGGATCCCGCAACACAGCAGACGACAATGTGGTAAGCCCAGATGGATGGCGGGATGAGTTAAACTCCTTCCAGACATACTGGGTTATTATGATTTTTATTTACTACATTAATCATATCTGTAATATAAAAATGAATCGCTGAATGTGTTGGTAAGCGCAAATCTCGAGAGCAGCTGAACCATTGATAAACGCTGGCTAATAATTATTTATATCTATTTAAAACGTACCTAGCGACAAACCCGAGCGAAGCGAGGGTGAGCCGCTATTATATACATATTTTATTTTATTAATATCTTTTTATTTAATAACTAATTTTGTCGTCCAGGTAACGAGATGTCAGAAGTATTGCGGGACTTCCCCGAGCTGACAGTGGAAATCGATGGAGTGACCGAGTCCATCATGAAGCGTACCGCGCTCGTCGCCAACACCTCCAACATGCCCGTGGCCGCCCGCGAGGCTTCCATTTACACTGGTCAGTATTTATTTATTTAGGATTGTCAACAGGAAATGCATTATTAAGTATATGATAAAAATTGTATATTACACAACTCAACAACAAAAGAAATTGTCTTTGCCCTGAAATTTATTTTAATTATTTTTTATTTTCTATGTATAAAACTTTATTGCACACGAAAATGGTACATAAACAAAAAAAATACAATTAAAGAGATTATTTTATGATTTTTCTATTAATTATGATTAAAAATAAAGGAAAAATACCCATATTCCTTAAAAAGTTTTCTTTTGTGGTAGTTATGACAATATGGTTTTTAACCTTTTTCTTGAGTTATCATATTTATAAAAAATGTTCAATAGTTTTCATGTTTTTAAAAATACCGCGAATTCATTCAATTCAGAAAAACGAAAAGAACGTTTTATTTATTTATTTATTTATGTTTAGTGGTCCACAAAACAAATGACAATCAAATACATATAAAAAATTAAACTGGATTTTCTAAAATATTGATCAACCGTTTTCCTATATACAAAGGCAAACTTTTTCACTTCATATATATTTTTTGTCTAACTTATCGATAAGTCTATCAAAATTTCATACTCTCTTATCAAAGTCAAAATTCGTGTTGACCTATGTTATCAATATATTTAAATTTTAAACATTTTCTTCTTCTTCTCTTCTTCTATCTATCTTATTATGTAAGAAATATATTGTTATTGTTATTTTTGTTTGTTTTGTTTGATTTTTTAGATGGTCTTATATATTTTTCAACATCAGAATTTCTTTTTGGTCTGATGGAAGAGTTCTAATAGTAGTAAAAGATTGTAATAATTTAATGCTGATTAATATTTTTGGTAATCAAAAATATATAGTATCAAATTTTAATTAATATATAAAATAAATGTGTGTTATTAATTTAATTAGTATCTATAATCAAAAATAAAAATATATTTTTAATAGAATTGACGATATAGCTTAATTATAATAACAATGTCCGCGGCAGGTATCACACTGTCGGAGTACTTCCGTGACATGGGCTACAACGTGTCGATGATGGCGGACTCCACGTCGCGTTGGGCGGAGGCGCTGCGTGAAATCTCTGGTCGGCTGGCGGAGATGCCGGCGGACTCGGGCTACCCCGCCTACCTCGGCGCGCGTCTCGCCTCCTTCTACGAGCGCGCCGGCCGCGTCAAGTGTCTCGGAAACCCCGACAGGGAAGGTTGGTGCACGCTCGTAGTCTCGCATGGCACGTCGGGTGTGTCCAGTGCTCCGGAAACTGACAGGGAAGATTGGTGCATGATCGTAATAGTTTCAATAATGATGGTAAATTCCAAGAATGCGAGGATCGTAAATAAAGTCACAACAAAATAAAGCGACAGGCAATAAGTCTGATTAAGTCTTGACAGTAGCACCCTCTCCATAATGCCAACTGACAGTAGCGGTTCCGATACACCTACTGCACTTACAGTACAGTACCTAGTAGCAGTGACAGTGACCCTGTAGCGTTCATCGAAACACAATATCACGCATAATGCCGGGAGGTCACACACGCGCTGGCTAAAGTTTATGGCCTTGCCACGCTCATTCATTTTTGTATTTCGTATTCTAATATTCATATTTCATGTCCAAAACTACCTAATATGTACTTTCGCTATTCCTTCTCTATGTAATTTGTTCCGTGTGACATTCTACATGTGTTTAATGTGTTAATTCCCTTCTATAATTTAACACTTTAGTATTATTATTATTATGTTGGGTGTGGTGCCGAGGTCGGCCCTAGCTACGTCGACTAGTTTTAGTCCATTGTAGCTCAACACACACACACTTTAGTAACTTTACCTGACTTCTGAATAATGAAATGAAATAAATTGTATTCAATTAGACTTATTACAAGTGCTTTTGAATCGTCAATTTAATGAAAGCGTCAGTGTAGTCAATCCGTGAGGAAGCTACCACCACTCAACGGTTGCTCTTTTAAATATCGAAGTACATTCATTTTATTAACATAATTTTAATTATTATTATATCTAAAACTTATTCTATAATACCTTGTACCCGTGCGCGCAGGCTCCGTGTCCATCGTGGGCGCCGTGTCGCCGCCCGGCGGTGACTTCTCGGACCCGGTGACGGCGGCCACACTGGGCATCGTGCAGGTGTTCTGGGGGCTCGACAAGAAACTGGCGCAGCGCAAACACTTCCCCTCGATCAACTGGCTCATCTCATACAGGTCTTCTTTAACTTAGCTTATTAAAAAATTTTTTAATAAGCTAAAACATTCTGGACCATTTTGATGAAAATTATTATTCAAATTGTGAATCTAAACCATTCTCAGATCCCCTTGAACACACACAAAAAATTTCATCAAAATCGGTCCAGTCGTTTGAGAGAAGTTCAGTGACATACACACTCACAGAAGAATTATATATATAAAGATTTACTCCTACCATCAAAGGGCACATACATGCTCTTGTCAAAGGCCTATGTAGATACTAGTTACTTACCCTAGCTTCACTTGGACGCTGATCATAATGTATCTGTGTTCTAGATTTCATTCAAATCTGTTCCATTGTTTAAGCATGGAAGAATAAATATATACACACAAATCGCTTTTATAAATTAGCGATACTTATTTATGTCACAATTAATAAAGTTTTTTTTAAATGTTTCTCAACAAAATATAATAAGATTTGTTATTTTATATATAAACTAGCGAAATATAAAAACAAATCTATCCCACGGGAACCGTAAATTTTTCTAGAATAAAAAATAATCTATGTGCTATTCCAGACTATAACTATCTCTGTGCCAAATTTCATCCAGATCCGTTTAGCCATTCTGGCGTGATTTAGTAACAAACATCCATCCAAACTTTTGCATTTATAAATATTAAGGATTTTATTAATACTGATTTTTAATACAATTTAATTGTAATAAATTTTAGATTTGTGTCATTACAGATGAGTCTATTTTGTTTATATTTTTTTATATTTTTCAAACAGCAAGTACATGCGAGCGCTCGATGACTTCTATGAGAAGAACTACTCTGAATTTGTACCTCTTAGAACCAAGGTAGAGTAATTAAATAAACTATTAATATTTTCTGTTTGTTTTTGTAAAGCATTATTTATTTATTAAAAAATATTTTTTATTATTCATTTAATAAAAGAAGGTCATTTAATTGTATTGACATTATTTTTTAAATTTAGCACCCTTAGATTTATGGTGCCTCAACTTAGAATTTAAAAATAATTCCACTTTAAACCATAAACTTTTTTTTCTTTTTTTTCATTGAATATTTTCATGAACTATGATTTTTTTTAACAAATTATTTTATACATTATCAATATTATGTATATATACAATATGTAATATTTGTTCCAGGTTAAGGAGATCCTACAAGAGGAGGAGGATTTGTCAGAAATCGTCCAGTTGGTGGGCAAGGCGTCGCTGGCTGAGACCGATAAGATTACACTTGAAGTTGCCAAACTGCTTAAAGACGATTTCCTACAACAGAACAGGTTTGGTTTTTTTCTTTTGACTTTTTTTTATTGGAATTAATTTTGTTTTGAGCATAGATTTGTATTTAGGCAAAAAAGAAGTTTCATAATACGGTATATTGTAGTTGTTTTGTGCATTGTGCACACATGAGTACTAACTCATGCTTTTAATTATATGTTAATTCATCAGACATTTTTAATTTTTATTTTATTACTTTTAATAACCAATGAATACACTACGCTCTTATTAATCCTAACTCCGAGGTCTTCGAGCCGGACCTGTCACAATCGAAGTACATAATAAATATAAGAAGTATTAATGAATAGAATAGTGTCGGTTAAACAATTTCCATATGTACCGCAGCTACTCGTCGTACGACCGCTTCTGCCCGTTCTACAAGACGGTGGGCATGCTGAAGAACATCATCTCGTTCTACGACATGTCGCGCCACGCCGTGGAGTCCACCGCGCAGTCCGACAACAAGGTCACGTGGAACGTCATCCGCGACGCCATGAGCAACGTGCTCTACCAGCTCTCCTCCATGAAGTTCAAGGTACGCCCCCCGCAATCTCTCTTCTCTCTCTCCCCTCTCAATCTCCCCCAGAAATCTAAATAATTCCATAAAAAATTTATGAAGATCTGAAAAATTGAAATAGACCATTATAAACACTTTGAAAAATCAATTATTTTACTTTTTTCTAATTGAAATCATTAGGTCATATATAAGTCCATGATACAGCTATTAATATCTTGGTAGGATGTTTTACTGGAAAGAGGTATTCCGTAACGGAATAATAACTTTTGCTCAATATGATATTTTTAATTTTTGATTCAAATTGTTAAAATGACTAACTCAATATTGATTGTGGAATTTTATTACCAACATAATATACACATCTTGCCCCCCATAAAAAAACCTATTCGCCTTTTGCAGGCAAATCTTAACTGAAATAGAAGATTTGAAGTAATATTTATTGAAATTGTTTCAACAGGACCCAGTAAAGGATGGCGAAGCCAAGATCAAGGCAGATTTCGACCAGCTTCTAGAAGACATGTCTGCAGCCTTCCGCAACCTCGAGGATTAAACGCCCCCTCAAACCCCCCCATCCCCTCTTATTGTTACCCACGAGGGTTGCCACGAGCACAATTAGTCCACTAAACATAATAAAGGATTTATTTTTATGATATGATCAAGTTGGCAGCCCCGCAGTAAAACATCGATTGGTCGAGAATCGATATTTTACTCGATTCTTAATTTAATCTATTTTAACTCGTAGATTATCCTATATAGTGTTTGGTGTTCAAATAAACGCGCCATATTCAATATTAAGGGTTACAAGTGTTAGCGTAATTCCATGTTGAATGTTTAATGAATCGTATTGTACATAGAATTTTTGGGCAGTCTCGACGTCCCTCTGTAACATTAGTTGTTATTTACATTATATTATTATATACTATTTATATATTTAATTTTCGCCCATTTGGTTTCAAACCCTGGTGCATTCCACGTTATTTTTAGAATAAAATATATTTTTTTTTGTTTGCAAAAATGTTGGCATTTCCGTATAATCGTTATTCAGTATTATACTCCGCCGGAGATTCTAAAGTATATGCTGTTTGAACTTGGTGTTGATAGAAAATCTTATTATAAATAAAATATTAATTTAAATATTGTTGTATTATTTTAGGTATGGAAGATAATTCTACAATATTATTACCTTTGTCTTGGTGTTTTCTATGTTCTCTCAAGAGATAAGATCTCTTGACTACGTCACAAGATATCAAAGAATCAGAGGCTTGTTATAATTCTAAATTAACCCGCTACTTAGTCATTTAAATGAGCCTAAAGCACTATATCTCTGCAGTATAATATTGCAATAGTAAAGAGTTGAGTATCTTGATTTGAGTTGACAAGAGAGACAAAGCGATCGTGCGACCCATAGATATAGAGGAGTTTAAGTTAGATTCACTATTTGCAATATTATATTTGTAGTTTTTATATATTCAGTTGATTTATTAATAAATGTTATCTCTAAATGCCTATATAACTTACTTTATTTTTATATATAAAAGAGACAAGTATTGGCCGCACTTTCGCTTTCTCTTTCTAGACAGTGGTCAATTTCTTGAGAGTAGTGCTCAGTCCATTCTCTATTTTTATGGTAGTAATCATGTGCCTAAAACATTTTCCGAAACTTTGCCCACTAACATGTCACTTAAATAAAAACTGGCAGAACTACTATTTCTTAGAACACCTTTACGAATTAAAAAAAAACAAATTGACATTTTTGACAGAATATTTATTAGAATTTAGTGGTGATTGCTGATTTTTGTGTGTTGTTTTTTATTTGTTCAAACATTATAATGCCAAATCGTCATTACGATGAGCCTAACCAGAGCGATGCCACGTTATTAGTGAGCGTGGAAGATCTGATCTATAGAGCCCTTGGGAGTCCTAATGTTAGTTTGTCTATTGTATCGACGACACGTTAGGCTCAGTTTGTAATGACGCTATTTGCTATGCCAGCGGTCGCGGGTTCGAGTCCCGCTGGGGGGCATCCATTTGTGTGATGACACGAATGTTTGCACTCCAGTCATGGGTGTTTATATTTGATGATGTTCTTCTAGCCGATTCCGGCTACGGCGGCCAATCTCATTGAGATTAGCCAACTGCGCAGGAGATATTATAGTGCTCAAGTGTACGCGCAGACACAAGTGCACTCTCTATTCCTGTCACTCTCATACTCCGGTGTGACGAACCGGGACCCGGGACTCGAACCCAGGACCTCCGGGTGTGCAGCCGTACATGCTAGCCACTACACCACCGAGGCAGTTAAATTTATATTTATAATATGTATGTATATAAAGTTATATATGTGTAGTGTATCAACTATCTTGTTATCCATATTATTATTATTAATGTTGGGTGTGGTGCCGAGGTCGGCCCTAGCTACGTCGACCAGTTTTGGTCCATTGTAGCTCCCTTTATAGTGAGTTCAAAGTTCTCCGCTTAGTCCTGTTGACTCCAGGAACTTCCAGATTTTCTGAGCGGGGAGCATCTGTATCTCTTCCGGTTGCATAATATGCTGCCCTAGATAGATACTTCTGCGGTGCATGAGTGGACCGCACGAGCAGAGGATATGCATAGCAGTTTCCTCTGTCTCATGGCATAGTCTGCACATTGCGGTCTGACTGAGGCCGAGGGTAAACATATGTTTATTGAGTTTGCAGTGACCAGTAAGTATTCTGGTTACTGCACTGGTTTTATACTTGTTGAGTTGAAGCAACTCTTTTGTAAACTTTTTGCGATATCCCTTAATTAGCGCTTTAGAGTGTATTTGTCCAGAAGTGGATTGCCACTCTTGAAGTGCTTGGCGATTGCAGTGAATTTTGAGAATTGAATAGGCATGTTGTTTTGCAATGCCACAGAATGGTTCTGGGCCACAATCTGGGGTTTCAGCGCCCCTTCTTGCCAATGCATCAGCCTTTTCATTCCCATCTATGCCTGAGTGACCCGGGACCCATCTGAGGGTAACTCTGTTGGATGTGCCCAGGACATTCAGATTATCCATACAGTCTTTGACCAACTTAGAGTTGGTCTCAAGAGAATCTATAGCCAGAAGTGCTGCTTGGCTATCTGAGTTGATGTAGATATTTTGGTTTCTAAGCTTCCTCTCCAGGATGACTTCAGCACATTTGTTGATGGCGAAGACCTCGGCTTGGAAGATGGTGGCCTCCTTGCCCAGATTGACACTCATGTCAAATCTAGGCTTAAGGCCATAGATGCCGCACCCTACATCAGATCCTTTCTTGGATCCATCTGTAAACCAAACATGACTGCCCTTTTTGTGAGACTCTTGGTTTTTTAGCCACATGTCCCGGTTGGGAAGATCTATTTGGTACTGTTTTGCGAAGTTAAACTCTGTACTCATGCCATCGACTGGCATTTTCAGAGTTTTGTGTTCGAATGTCAACTCCTTGAGTTTGTTCATATATTGCGATTGCAACTTTACATTCGATTGTGTACAGAGCCTGTAGAGGCAAGATTTAGCTTCTTTTTGCACGTGGAGATATAGCGGAGCTATGTCCAACAATGCATTTAAAGCGTCGCCTGGTGCCGAGTGGAAGGCTCCCGTGATGATTAGACATGCCATCCGTTGTATGCTGTCTAGTTTACTCATAGTTGTCTTTTGTTTGGTTTTGTTACACCATACGACTGAGGCGTATGTTATGATCGGCCTTACCACGGCGGTGTACATCCAGAGAGCCATTTTGGGCTTGAGGCCCCACTTGGCTCCAGCCATTCGACAACATATCCAGAGGGCCATTTTGGCTTTTTGTATAATGTTGTTGAGGTGAGAGTTCCAGGTCAACTTTTGATCAATAGTGACTCCAAGGTACTTTACCTCATTTGATAGGTTAAGGGTTTTGCCATTGAGTCTGAGTTCGGTCAGCCTTTCAAGCTTCCTTTTCCTGGTAAATGGTACAATAACTGTTTTATCAGCGTTTATTGATAACTCATTTTCTCTGCACCATCTTGTGATGGTATTGAGAGCTCCTTGTAACCTGGTGGAAATTGTGTTCAGGCAGGGACCTCTTACTACTACAACAAGGTCATCTGCATAGCCCTGTGTATCGTAGTCGAGATCTGCCATGATTACAAGTAGTAGGTCTACAGCTAGTGTCCATAATAGGGGTGAAAGCACTCCTCCTTGCGGACAGCCTCTTGTAGTGTAGAAGTTGTGCGAGTGTTCGTTTAACGTAACTTTCGCACACCGGTTGGAGAGCATATATTCCACCCATCTGGTGGTTGTGATATCAACACCTTTTGCATTTAATCCTTTCAGGATGGTTGCCGTAGGTGTGTTATCAAAGGCCCCCTCAATGTCCAAAAATGCACATAGAGCTGTCTGCTTATCCTCTAGGGACCTTTCTGCCTTGTCGATCAGAGCTACTAAGGCAGATTCTGTGGATTTACCCTTTTGGTAAGCATGTTATCCATAACACAGGCCTCGTAACTTACCATGGAACTAGATGGTAATGTGTGTTAATGTCCCAACATATTTATATTATATATTTATATTGATACTAATATTCTAAGGGCCTTTCATGTTTTGGGAAAGATGTGTATGGGAAAAATTGTACTTTATTCATCGAACTTCTTATAGAGTATACAGAATAGGATTTATTATAGAATTGGATATGGAGAAAATAAGCTGCGTGGCTTAGCTAAAAATACACATACTTTTATCGATATTTTCTATGACTGTTATATAAATTTGACTATATTTTATCAATACGTAGCAACCGAATATGAGGATTTATATACGAATGTATTCTTTAAATCGTCAGTAGGACGAAAATTCGACACGACCGGGTAAAGGTAGGTACAGGATCATTCCCGGGGGAGAAGCCAACTCCTACCGGGCGCGTCCCCAGGTGGCGGATAGGGGCATGCCACCCGCTTAGAGGGGCGGGTGGTACCGGAGAAATCCGGCGCGGACCAAATGGCTTGGATGGGGCCGCTCGTCTAGGCCTCGAGCCGAAGACGTTGCGGCCACCGGTGGTGGGACCGCTTGGTCCCACAACCGGATGATGGGTGCCGATTGCGGGACTGTGGTCGCAGGCCCGCATTCGGCGGAGGGGTAGGCCGCGGCGGGAGAGGAGTGCCGGTATTTCGGTGCGCCGTTCTCCCTACCTTCCGCGGCCTAGACGGGGCCGCCACCGTTTGATGGCGGACGCGGTGGGGCTGCAGGGGAAGAGGAGTGTCGGTGTTTCGTTGCCGCTCTCCCTGTCCTCTGCAGCCGATTGGAGGTGGCCCACTTCGGTGGGCGGTGTTTGTGTGGTGTGGGGCTGCTCCGGGTACTTCTCTGATCAGCAGAGTGGACTTAGGAGCGGCCTCACTTTTTGGGTTGTAAGTCTTCCCATAATGGGGTTGTCCCGCTTGGGGCGGCCTCATGGTTGGTGGCTTCGGCCAACCGTCGGGGCGTCGCGGTTGTATGCGAGAGCGATCCCGTGGCGCCCCACATGGCGGCAGAGGGGGAAAGTTGGGTTTTAGTGGGTATGCCGGTCTCATTAGCCGGAGAGTCTCCACATAACCACTCCGGGGGAAGTTGGGTGGTATCCGTAATAGGATTTCCCAACTATAAAAAAAAAAAAGGTGCAGGATCATTAGCAGAATGAGTTCTCCAAACCATGGTGGTGCACATGGCGGCTACTTCATAACTTTGAGCAGATACTAAGTATTTCATGATAAAACCCAGTAACAATATTGCAACAGAAACTTTTTTTTTGTATCCCGGGACGAGAACCCGAGACCTCACAATATGTAGCCATCCATGCTAATTTAAATATGTGTATGTATTAGGTACTTGATAGTCGTTACGAAGTCTTAACTTTCATTAAGTACATAATCTTCAATTATTATAAATAACTAAATAATAACTTAGTTCACTTTATAGGAAAATACAGTAAACTTCAAATTGGTCCAAATGATCCTCCACATATTGGCGCGTCAACAGCGTATGTTAGAACAACGTGTTGAGATTAGGGAGGAAGACTTTGAAGTCAGTCAACCTAGAGAGAAATCAACTTCTACAAGTTCGTCTTCAAAAAGTCCTCGGACACCTGGTAGAAAAAAAATGGCAGGAATTAAAGAAGAGCGTGAACCTAAAAAAAAAGATACAGACAAGAAAAAAGATGCTGAAAAAGAGAAAGAAGAAAAAGAAACAAAGCATCAAAAAGAAAAAGCAGAACTAATATCAAAAAAAGAACAAAAATCTCCAAAAGAACTTGAAAAGATAGCTAAGAAAGATAAAGAAAAAGCTGAGAAGGAACGAAAGCAAGCTGAAAAAGAGCGAGAAAAATCGCCGGTATCTACGGTAAGTACCTATACATTTTCTATTTTATATATAATTCTTAGATATAATAATAATACTTTTTTACTTGTTCGTAATTATTATTATTTACTTTCTTATTTATTTACAGAAAGGTGGGGAAAAAACAAAGATAGCCGTGACAGGTGATTCGAAATTAAATTTTAATAGAAAATTACATAAAATCTACCTACATACATATATGTCTTTTTTGCATTTGGTTGTTTTTTCCATATGTATTATTCTTACATATTATCACAGATCATTATTATAATACTATGATATTATAATTTTCCAGAAACTCAAATAGGTCGGGAAAAAGTACTTGTAGGTAAGATTTTTGTGATCATTTTATTAAAGCCTTTTAAAATAGACTTTGGTGTATTTTATCTAGTGATCTAAAAGCTAATCACTACCGCTAAACATTATAAAAATATTTTCAGTTGAAAAAGGATCCACTACTCGAACAGGTAAGCGTGTAAAAGAACAAGTCAAGCGAAATGATAAAGAAACGAAAAATTATATGTCACTATATACATATATATTTTATATAACGAGCATTACAGCTCAAAACGTTTATGGTAAATTATTTAAACTGTATAGTGAAAATAGTAGGTACATATATTATTACCATATGGAGTAAGGCTCGAAGGACCATAAAATGCAAATAAAAAGGAAAATAGTTCAAATCAATGAAGTATATTACGAGTATAATTGTTGAATGTAAAATCAGCGTAAAATTTAATACTAAGTAATGAATATAGAGATTTTATTAAGATATAAAAATTTACGGTTATATGATAATTAAATACGTTGTAGAAGGTTAAATTGTAATGGTTATGGCAATACACCATGGTTAGCAATGGTTATTAGCGCTGTGCTTCTCTGTCAATAAATATCTATTTATACTGGCTGTAAACGTTAGCAAGCGCAAATTTTTACATAACGCAATGTAATATTTAGTTAATTTTTAAACACTATGTATCTAATGGCATATCTTAGAGTTTTTTTACGTGGCAAGCAAGCATACTTGGGAAATAAAAAGAAACGGGTTCAAATCCCGGGTGGTCTCGCACCTCTGATATTTTCTTGTGCGAATCATTTTCAACATGAACCACTCGTCTTGAAGAAAGCAGGAAGGTGAAGGAAAACATCGTGAGGAAATCTGCATGTCTAAGAGAATCTAGCATGTTCTCAAAAGACGTGAAGTCTGCTTGCACTTGTCCGGTGTGGTGGACTGTGGATTGTCCCCTCTCGTATTGAGAGGAGACCAGTGCCCAGCAGTGGGACCTTAAAAAGAGCTGAATGTCTGAATGAATGAAGGGCTGTACTTACGTACGCAAGTAAGAAGCTATACTTCTTTGGCGTAGCAGAACAAAAATAGCTAAAGATTTCATCCCGTATGTCACAACTCTGTTTGTAAAAGAAATGCAGCTAACCTCATCATGTCGCTTTATGGCTGTCGGTGTGCGCGCGCATCGTAAAAATTTTACTCTCATAATTTTTTCCAAACGTGCAAAAAAAGTATACATAACTCCAAAAATCTGAAAGATGTTTTTATTAATTTCACTTGTAATTAATTGCTTAGTTACATCTATTATTTCAGTTTAACCTAATTCTTATTGTATCGATGAGCAACTTTGTAAGTAAATGTAATCCGGATTACGATACAAAAATTTGATATCGTAGCCGACGACATTATAAGTTTTTAGACTTAGAATTTTAATATCTATGAAAATAAGTATAATGTACATACAATTTTAGAGTCACGCCCACGCGCTAGTATCGATGTCGTCACGCAGTCACAATTCGCTGTTCTCGAGGCCACCGTGAATGAACTGAAGAGTTTAGCTCTCCCTAAACCACTAGCTCTTCCGGATAACGAACAGTTAAAAAGCGACTTAGCCAGGGGCAGTGCCTCATTACCTGACACTATGCAAGCTATGCAGGTTGGATACTTTATAAATTCCTCACATATTTTTGTAGACATTATAAAACAATATTTCTTTAAATTTTTAGTATATAATGTAAACTATATTGACCAATAACCGAGTTTGGCTTCACTTAGGCATTTCCAAGTCAATTAGTGACTTTTTGTAACATGAATTAGAATTCCATTGGAAGTCTTTTGTTAAGCGAGACAAAGAAAATATTTTTGTTACGCAAAGAAAGAAGGTCATGGTCAAGTGAACATTTCGCATGTATAATAAATGTAAGGATTAAGTTTTAGGTTTAAACTAAAATAAATATAATTATTAATGCATCGATCAAAAAGTACTAGATGCACAATCCCATGCAAAAATTCTCTTAAAATTGTTATTGTTTTTAGGCAATTATTAATGTTGAAATAAATATACAAAAATGTAAATTGAACCTTAAATACAATGCTTAAAGTTGTTTTCACAAAAAAAATATTAAAAGCGCGCTCAAATGTTCAAATGAGCGTTTATTCGGTGAGGACATTTTTTGTCGCTGATTATGAAATGAAATGAAATGAAATATTCTTTATTGCACACCATTATTTTACATTATATAGTTGAAACAGATTAAAGGAATATAGTACAATAGGCGGCCTTATCGCTAGAGAGCGATCTATTCTAGGCAACCTTTGGGTAGAGAGAAAGAAGAGAGAAGGAAGGGGTGCAAACAATCTTAAAGAGAGATACAATAAATACATACATATACAAACAGATATATACAATATATATACATACATACATACATACATACATACACACATACATACATACATACATACACACATATAAACATTATACATATAAAATAAAATATGACACCATGATTATGTAAATAGTACTTTTTTAATTTAAGGTCGACGCTCGAGTAAAAGCAGCCGAGGAAGCTATAAACCGTATGACAGGAATTTTAACTCAGCTAACAGCGGCTGGTGGCCTGTCTGAAGATCTTGCGGACAAAGTTGAGGAAGTAATAACTGAGCATGCCCTGGAAACTGTTGAAGCTAAGCCCAGTGAATTAAAGCCTGCAGAAGTGCGTTAACTGTTTTCGTATTTTTTTTTGAGGAAAGAGGATATTACTAATACCAATTTTTCCAATGGTTTTTTAGCTATAACAATATGAGTAATAGAAAAAAATCCATTGAAAAACATGACTAAAAGCTATTTTGATTTTAAAAACTTTTGTTATCTACCATACATGTACCATATGTTTAGCAAAACTTTTTACGAATACCCCATGGATTTGATATCGTGGAACCAAAAGTAGCCTGTCACTTTCCTACCTATAAACTATTCTAAATTAACAACTTTGACATTTACAATATTATTATACAACATCATCAAAAGACAACACATAAATTGTTAAAAATATATTGTACGTTTGTAAGTTCTAACAAACAGGAAACATCTATATTTACAATATCATTTTCTCAGTCCGTTAAATCTCGTCCATCGATCGCGGTGAGAAAATCAGTTTCCGTTGATCCAAAAATATCGCAAGCGCCTTTGTCTCGCCCTTCATCTGTTTCTACACCGGTTACTCCTAAACCGTCTCAAGCGACGACAAGTAAAGCGTCTATAGTTTCTAGAATATCAAGTATGTTTACGGGTCCTGGAGTAACACATGAGGAAATGAAGTTAGTGTACTAAAATATATAATTATTTTATAAATGTATGTTACTCTTGGCTTAGAACGACTTTCTTCAGGTAGATTAATTATTAGAAAGACTAAGCAACTTTTTTATACTAACTGGTGGTTAAAGCTCAGTTTTAAAATTTGTCTAATATTTTGTATGTATTGTATTCAGCCCTTTTTAACGATTTATTGCTAGGCATTGGCCTCCCTTCAATACGAGGGGGATTAGGCCATGGTCCACCACGCTGGACAAGTGCGGGCAAACTTCACATGTCTTTCGAAAACTCGCTAGGTTCTCTCGGACATGCAGGTTTTCTCACGATGTTCCTTCACAACAAGGTAAGGCAAGTGGTAATCATGTTGGAAATAATTCGCTCATGAAAATATCAGAGGTGTAAGAACCCGAGATTTGACCCCGCTTCACTCGGTTTCCCAAGCGAGCGCGTTACCACTGGGCTCCCAATGCCACTCATATTGTTTACTTATTTTTTAATTTTACTTTATAAAAATCTATTTTAATTCTAATTTTAATTCATTTGCCAAAGTGCCGCCTTGAAAGCCCTACGTAATGAGTTGTCAAAAAATTTGGAAAACTTGACAACCAGAGCAATCACTGCAGCTGAGAATGCCCTACACACTGCCAAAGTTGTAGGTGAGAATGTGATTAACTTAAATAAATTAAGAATAAACCAAAAAGAATACATACAAAGGTCTAAGTTAGTTAAAAAATTATTTAAATTGAGTTCTTCGAATCGTAATCGAAAAAGATGGAAATGAACCGAAATTAATCTTTATTGCAGTAAACTTATACAAGTACCTACTTATGAACTTACCTTTTTTGAATATAGAGCTAATAGCTCTTTAAATTATACCGCCCTTAGGGTCTTTTTAACTTATTTGTCATACATACATACATACATGAGTCTCATATAATAATAATGTTCTGACCGATTCCGGCCACGGCGGCCAATCTCATTGAGACCAGCCAACTGCGCAGGAGATATTATACGTGCGTGCGTACTAGTAACTTTAAAACATTTTTCCATTTCAGCCGATAGATTAGATATCGCACTAAAATTAGATCTACGCATTTCCACACTGTACTCATTGGTTGGAGATTACGCGGAACAGTTGAGCGGGTTCGATGATGGGTTGACTACTCAGGTAATTTTTTTTTGTAACAATACAACAAAGTAAAATGCTAACAATAAAAAAACTGTAATTTTATGTACAGATGCAAAGTTTTCAAGACCAAATGGCGCAAATACGTACAGACCTCAAGAATGGCCTGTCTCAGTTAGAAAATGTTAACAATAATGCTGAAGGTGCAGGTAATGCATGGAAATAAAAAATAAAGAGTACGAATATATGTTTAATCTATATGAATTATGAACTCAATATTTGATTCCTCCACATTCACAATCATTCTTTTTACAATGCTAGGCTGCGATAATATGTAAAAATATAGCGCAAATTGCGGGTGTTTTTGGTTTAATGTTTGATAATTATTGTTATTTATATATTATGTATGTTCAGGTTATACTTTGGTGTTATAAAATATATAGATTCTTTGTCGGTGTGCGCTAAAATCTTATAATGTAAAGGTTTAAAGATAACATTTACGATTACAGCTGTCATTGAACTAACAGAGAGGTACCAAGATTTAGTGACAGAGCTGGACTCTACGTTGCACGCGCACAAAGCGCTCACTACCTTGCAATCTGAACTGGGCGGAGAAATGCATGTGAGTTATAAGTCCTTAGGTAAATAAGGGCATGTCAATGTTACTTTCGAGCCCTTCAACTGTCTCCATTTTAAAAAAAAACACATCAATATCTGGCTAAGTTTCGATGCGAAAGAAGTACAAACAAACAAATAAACACAACATTCATATTTACAAAATTACTATGAATAGAAAGTAACCAGTTAGTAAAAATGGTAAATTCATTGTTTCTTTTATTAACATTTTTGCTTTTATTGAATTTGGAAAGTATCAGCTTTTTGTATTAAGTATAAAAGGAATAAGCACCTCAGTTTAAATAAATAAAGCAAAATAAATAAATTAGGTATAAATTATTCAAAGTTATTGAGAATCGGGTAGTTTATTCACCCCTTTATTCTTTACCCAACAAAATATATGTATATAGTAAGCGTTTGCTTAGTTGGACATTTCATATATCCATATTTGCAGAGTTTGGTGGAATGTGTAGAGATGCTGCGAGAACAAAAGTGTGATCGAGATGAAGTGTTGGACGGTCTGAGAGATAAGGTAAGATCTTGTTAAATTTTACTAGCAACTTAACCTCCACTTCGCTCGGGTGCGTCCCTATAGGTACATTTTAATTTTTTCCCTTAATTCTTTTTCTAAAATAAAAGTAGCTTAATATACCTTATAACATCGGCTATCTGCCAGTGAAAGTCCCGTCAATATTAGTCTAGCCGTTTCGGAGATTAGCCGGAACAATTAGACAGATAAGAAACTCGTACAAATACCAATTCCTGTTATTTGCCCATTTGAGTACGGTCTCAAAGTTAGGTTTAAATTCCACCTACTTTTCTGTGTAGAAGCAAAACAATTTAATATTGTTCTTAGCTTTCCATTAAGGTCGAGATACTTAACTGTTAATAAGTGGTGCAAAACTAAACAAAACTACTTAGTGTAATACATACATATTATGTGCATGTAGTAAGTACACTTGTTCCCTTTATTTTGCTGGATGTTTCAATAAGTCAGCCTCCAGGCGGACGCCACGCGCCTCGCCGGCTTGCTGACGGAGATCGACTTCGCCGCGGCGCGCGCGGACTTCGAGCGACGCATAGAGCTGTGCCACGATAAGTTCCGGAGGCAGGAGGCTGTTTGGATGGTATATACATACCCATGTTACTTTTTGTTAACTTCTTTTACTTTTTCATGGTCTAATGAAAATAAATAAAATAAATATACACATACATAATTACATTAACACACAACGCCATCTAGTTCCATGGTAAGCTAACGAGGCTTGTGTTATGAATACCGGATAGTTGATATACTACACATATATGACTCTAATAACTTTAAATACATATTATAAATATAAACACCCATGACTGGGGTACAAACATTTGTGCTTATCAAACGAATGCGATCAATTATTTTATAGCTAAAATGTGTGCATCAGCCCTGTCATTGCAGTTCCACATTATTTAACATCTGGTTAACGTCATCATCATATGTCTAACATCATTGGCCTATCTTAATTTAGAGTATCTGTATTATATCTGACTAGTTTTCGCAGCGCAAATTTTTAATACCTTAGGATATAGGACCTCCAATTTTTCTGAAAATAAAATATGGCCATGTTACTCGCTAATATGTAGCTTTTGATTTGTGAAAGAATTTTGAAAATTGGGCCTGTAGTTTTTTACTTTATCCATTAGAAAGAAATATACAAAAAAAATCTTTACAATATTAGTATAGATTATAACCGACTCCTGCAGGCGGCAATAAGGGACCTGACGCACATCACCGACCACAAGGCGGAGCTGGTGGAGCTGCTGTCGGCGCGCGACGACGCGCGGCGCCGGCTACGGGAGCTGCACGCTCGGCGCGCTCGGCGAGCCGCAGGTCGGTGCGAGTGCTCACTATAATAATGTCCTCCTGACCGATTTCGACCACGGTGGTCAATCTCACCGACACTAACTATCTGCGCAGGAGATATTGTAGTGCATACACAACGTGCACTATTCCTTTTACTCTCAAAGTCCGATGGAACGATACTCGCGGTGAGAGTTAATGCGAACCGTTGGAGGATCGTCGCGACAAGGACTCACTGAGGCACGGGAATGTGACACCTACAACTTCTCAACTCCAGTCTGCTACTAAGAATATCTTAATAGAAAAACTCAGTAATTAAACTTGGTCCGACCATCGACTCGATCCTAGGACCTCTGGATCTGCAGCCTAACTAGACCACCGGGACAGCGTCGTGCTGATTATAAGCGTAATGTCGCTAATATTTTTATGAACATATGCGGTATTTAGTCTATGATACACATCATGGCTTTTTCAAGCCAAGCAAGGTAGCTTCTTTACGGGTTGACTCTACTATTTTTAAATAAAGTTGTCAATTTAAAGGTGTTTTAAAGGAAATATTATATTTGAGATTTTATATTGAGTTTTGTTAAAGTAAGCATAGTCAAGAGACTAAAGTTGTAAACTTCTCAAAAGTTATTATTATTATAAACAACACAAAATTATAAAATAACTTCGAAGGAACAAATCAAAATAAAACCGCGAACCAACAGATAATTAAATTAGCCAAATATTCGTGTATTACCTACTAAAAAGGATTATTTCCAAGAATTTAGAGCTTATTAAAGTGTAACTGAATAACACCGATTGGATGTCAAACGTCAGGCGGCCCTCTTGACGCGCGAGGTGTCGGCGGGCGCGGTGTGCGGCGCGTGCGGCGCCGCCGCCCTAATGGCGGCGCACGACGCGGCGCGCGGGGCGCCGGCGCGCCTGCCCGCGCTCCGCCCCCCGCCAGAGGACGACCTCCACCCGCCTTGTATCAGTGACTGGATCGGTCCAGAGCCTCCTAGCGATAAGTGAGTACAGTGGTGATAGGTCTTGTTGTGATCAGAATAATTGGTAGAAGAATTTTTTGTCTCTCCTTCAAAGTATATTTAGCATAAAGCCATGTTCGCGTGTCCCCAGACACGTGTGCCGGCGCTGGTGCGGCGGCTCGCACACGCTGCTGGCGGGCGCGGCGCCGCGGGAGCGCGCGCCGCCCGGGCCGCCGCCCGCGCCCTCCGCGCGGGCGCCGCCCGGGCCGCCGCCCGCGCCCTCCGCGCGCTACGCCGGCTACGGGGAGGACGGACGGGTGATATGACTTTTTAGTTTCAACTTGTACTCAGCTCTTTTTAACATCCCACTGCTGGGCACGGGCCTCCTTTCAACACGAGGGGGATCAGGCATGGTCCACCACGCTGGCAAAGTGGTTGGCGGACTTCACATGTCTTTTGAAAATTTACTTAGTTCTCTCAGACGTACAGGACGACCACACGATGTATTTCTTTACCAGTCACCACCGTAAGACACCGTAAGGAAATGATTTGCACATGAAAATATTAAAGGTGCGAGACTCGGGTCTGAACTCGCTGCACTTGGTTTCTTAAGCAAGCGCGTTACCACTGAGCACCATTGTCTATAATTCTATATAACTTACTAGAGACTTATCCTTGCTACGCTATGGTGCTTCTCTAAATGTCTTTTTGCCATATATTGCTTTATTTTAAACCATTTAGGCAACGCACGGCGATAAAAACCAACAACCTGTTTTTTTTAATATTTTATTTTATTATAATTATTATAAAAGTAAAAAAAAAATTATCATAAAAAAAGCCTATAAGCACTCGGCGGTAATGTAGCCTCTAATTAGTCATAGAATTTTCAGAATCAGATCAATCGTTTCAGAGACCACTTTGCATCCAAACTTACGAACTTTACTGTAGATAGTTAATGTGAATTTTCATATTTTTATCTCAATACTCATTATTTACCTTACAACTTTAATTGTCATCTCTATATTATAGAGTCTATAACATTGTCTTGTACAAAAGTCCAAGTTTTTAAGTTCAAAACCGCGATCGCTACCTCTAATTTCTTAGATTACTTTAATTAGTATTTTCCAATCCAAATGATGTTTAAATTTTGTTTCATTCAGCTTTACATGATGGAAGAGGAGTTAAAGCCGTGTCTAGAGTGTAATTTACTGAGCACAGAGGCTCCGCCCGCGGCCGACGGCGGCGCCGGGGACTCCCCCGCGTCGCGCCCACCGACACAAGATGCTTAGTACAGATTATGAATGTTATGTTTTTGATAATAATATAAATTATAAGCTACTTGATGAGTTACAAAAAATCTAAAAATCACAAATCAATCACTCAGATATAATATTGATGCGCTGCGCAGTGCGCTGGTCTTTTTGATGTGTAAAATATTTCCTCTCGCTTTTCTGAGATTTGTGGGAGTGATATCGTGAAAAGGGACGGAAGTGTGTAACAGGCAGCCCGGGAAGCGCTATTTTTTATTTATATAGTATATACATACATACATCACCACCTTTGGCAAAACAGCTAATAACTGACATATTAAGCCTATGTGTTACTAAAATTCATCTACATAACCGTCAAATAGTTTTAGCGTCAAGGAGTACAACGATACACATACCTACATACGTATTGTACACACTTTCGTATTTTAAAAAGTAGTGGGATTTTTAATAATGACATTTAGAAATGTTGCTGTAAAAGATTTTGTCTATCTTGTTTCAATTTATTAAGCTTTTGAATAATTGATATTATTGGAATACCTAATGTGTTACCTACTAAATAAAGAAAAATATATAACTATTGTGTTTTTAATTTTAGTTTTTTTTTAACATTTGGATGCATTTAAGCCAAGAGAAAAGCTTTTTTAATATAACAGCAAGCTTAAAAAAATTGTTAATTATATATTATGAATGTTTAATTTTAAAAAAAATTGAAGGATGACAAATAAAACTATACATATAATTTTTAAACATTTATTTATTAAATTAAATAAATAATTTACATTATAAAAGGAAGCGTATGTACAACTTACCGCTGCTATAATAATTTAAATAAATATAATTAAAACTTAATTTAAAGACATAAATAGTTATAAATAGAAATGTAGAATAGGGCTTTGGATAAACAAAAAAATATTTAAAATTAATTAAGCAAAAATAATGAAACAAGGACGTTATAATATGGTAACAAAACGTATCTGAAACGTAGGTACTGTTAATTCCTAGGAACGAATATATTATGGCTACACTTTTGTATTGTCATGATTTTATTTAATCTATCGCCTTTGAGTTTTTTAATATATTTTCTTTTTCGATGGCTGTTTCCAATAGTTCATTGATTACTTTAAAAACGTCCAAATTTTTTATCTTACCGCAAATTAACTTAGTTCTATTAATAAATTATTATCTTTCAATCACAATTATAATGTAGTCTAAGCCTATTTAACACACACTTTTGTTTAACTATATTTAGTGATGTTAACTAAAACGCCTTAGTAGGCTTATGTTTTCTAATTAATTAGTATTTTTAATTATTCAATAATTTAATATGTCAGTTTGTTTATTTTTTATAGTTCTACTTCTTTTTAATACTTAAAGACTTTTTAATTTGATCACATTATCGTATTGACATGATTAACTATCTTTTGAATCAAAAATATGTACTTTAGTATTTAAATATTGCGCCATTACTTGATAAATGTCACTTCTTACGTAAGAAAAATATTATAAAGCATTCACTGCTACATTTGCGAATGACGCTCGTGGTATACGTATCTATATGTTAAGAAATTTTGGCTTGAAATATTAATTAAAAAAATAATCAATTCGTTTAGGTAACAGTGTTTGTTCTCGACTTCACTATAATTTAATATCTGTTCTATATAATTTTCTAAATTACTAAAATTAATTTTTAGAATTTAAATTACAGAACATATAAAAAAAAACTAAATGTTCGAATTGACAGTTAATTATGACCGATACGATAATATTGTGTTACATATGAGTTTAGCAGGTAGGGTCTATCCATACATATAGAGAGTGGACTGAGTGTTTCTTTACCAGCCGTCAGCTGAAAATGGAAAAGCGACAGAGACAAAACAAATGTGCGGCTAGAAGTCTTCTGTATTAATTGAAATACGATTAATGAAGATAAATATGTATAACCATTTATATTCCATTATATTATTATACTTTCAATAATATGTATTATAATTTTTTTCAAATTCAATTTATAAATTCAAATTGGAATAAAAGATGGGTATTAGCCGCACGTTCGCTTTCTCTCTTTGTCAATTTCATAACAGTATTGCTCAGTCCATACTTTACGTCTATGGATAATAAGATGTTGCATAGGAGTTCATCAAGTAGTCTATCGGAGGGGGGTGCAGTGGAACCTGTCGCAGTCATGGTCCCGGCTGGCCGCCATCACGTCGCCGAGCTGCCGCGCCACGGCGGACGCGTTCGCAGTGCTGCCGCGGGAAATCCTGCGACATTTCATTAGCAATCGATTATTTTTTTTATTTTATAGACAAAAAAATAGTACCTAATAAATAAAAGAATAGCAAAAGTGATATTAATTTCTAAAGTAAAATGTGTCACAATTATTATCGTTCTCCTCCAGCGAGCATAAAATATATGATTTATTATTATTATTTTATAAGGAACAAGTTTTGATAATATTGGATATTACTAGTTCAAGTTTTTTTCATGGCAATGATAATTATACAAATAAATAATATTATTTATAACATAATAGCTTTAGTGGTTATTTTAAATTATAATACAAGCTGTAGATACCTAAGTATCTCCTAGGGAGCTTTAATGTTTGTCTAAAGCCGGGACTGAATCCCGCGACTTCCAGCTCAAAGACATACTTAGAATAAGTACACCAGATGATCCTTTAGCGTCCTATAATGGATAAGTCTTTGATTTCACAAAACTTTTTTATTTTTAATAAAGTAGTTGTAGTCTTAAGATTAGAGTAGTCACCTAAAGTCGTCTAGTGTCCATTTAGTTCAACAAATTAAGTTAAAATACATATAAATACGCCTCTGCATTCTTACTAGAAACCTAACATATTTTTATTAGTAGTTCTTTACAGTGCGCGTGATCAAACATTTGCCACGAGTGAACGCCTCGTAGAGAAATAATTTCCAAGAAAAACAGAAAGTAAGGAAGATGATTTCCTATGTCTCAGAGCCAGTTTGACTTATTAACTGTGTTTTCTTGGATTTGGTGTCATAATAAAGCTTAAAAATACTTTAGATAATAATGACGGTAAAATATAAATCATAGTATCCACTAGTAGTTCTCTTAATGTTAATATAATTTATTTATATTTCAAATAAATTAAATTTGTTTGTTTAATTCGTAGAAAAAAATAATCTATCCAAAGTTATAAAAATATGTAAATATTGTAAGAGAAAATGTTACATAACAGAATGATGATAAATGATATACTGGATTTGTTGCAACATAAATTAGTTGTTTTGTTGATAAAAAGTTATTAATAAATATATTTTACACTGCCGCAAGTTAACAAATATATAAATAATAAATCATTCGCGGGTTTCCACTGGACAGAATGCGGTCGGAATACTTTCACTGTTACTCGCATATCCGAGTGTTACGTAATGAGGTTACGCATATCTGAACACGCGCAATTTTGGCGGCAAGCTGTCTGTTGACCACAGAATAAATATAACAGTTTTTTTTTCTCACGTTGATTAACATTTTAGTGGCGATTAGAGAGAAAATTTTGTTTTATTTATTTTATAATGTTTACTCCAAGTGCCAAGATTGCTGCATTGAAAGTGGAAAGATAATTTCGGCACAAAATTATATAATGGAAAATGGTCATAATTATTAGAGTAAATCAAGATAATGAGAAAGAAATAAGTCGTTAGAATAAACATGCAATACCTACTTGTCGTCGGTTTGGTAAGTCCGAAATTGTGGTCTTTATAATTCACTTTTATCTAAATCTGTGTCAAAATCATATTCTAGCATAATATGCAGTTAATTACTAGGTTTTATATATGAAAACAGTTACTTCGTTATCTTTTGACCGTCCAACTAAGTTAAATGGTGGCAGGTGCATGAAAGTATTTAATAATAAAAAACATAATAATATAATAAATTTTTCATTTAGTAACTGTGGCTCTTGTTCTCCTTTTTATATTATAATATAAACATTTTTATATTTTCAGTTACAAAGTGCAACTTGTACCATTCTACTAATATTACGTTTTTTACAAATTTAAGCTATAACGGCTTCACGTACGAGTATTTGAGTGATATTCAGGATGGCGAAGGCAATCTTAGATTAAAATATAATAATCTATTTCTTACCGACCTACGCGAGCGAGGTCGCGGGTGTATATTAGTCAATGATAAAATTGTACACACATATGACTCTCAACAATGGACGCTAAATATGCGATTTTGAAGTGCGAGAGCATATCGACTTGGTAATGAGATGAATCTTTTACTCGCGTGTAAACAGAGTATGACCCACTGCCACAATTTCTAATTGTAGCATTTTTTGTTTTTTATTCAAATTAGTCAAACGTCGGAAACTTAAAATCAAAATAAATCCACGAATAAATCGAAATGTTATTATATTTTAAAAAAATTTTTTTAAATAGATTTTAAAGTTAATCATTGAGATTATAAATAATGTTCCAAATCATTTCTACTTTACTTCAACTCTTTTCATTTATTATATTATAGTTATGTAAAATTACGTTACTTAAATTTTTAACTAAAAACATTCACTAACTTCAAAATCACTTTAAAGGCATTTCCATCCTGAGAGGTAGATTTTTTTCTTCAATTTGAGGTATACATCCTAAGAAATTCATCTCTAGTAGTGTCCAGGTTGTGGTCGATTTGGCCATAATCATTATTGAAAATTTGAGGAAAACATTATGAAGGGTACAGGCAAAGAACGGGGAATGTCCTAATGAATAGATTATGAGAAAAAAGCAATTTAAATTTAGAAGTTATGATATTTTTATTGAGATCAAAGTATGCTGTAAGTTTTTACTATGTACATTTTTGGACAATTCTCCTTACTTATCAGTATGCCAGTATAACATTCCTAATTCTTTTCGCTTTGGGCATAGATAAAAACGTATTCTTAACAACATCCGTTGAGTATTTGTAAAATCTAATGATTGGGGATGCAATTACCATACCAGGCAAATAAAAGTATTTTTTTTTGTTTTGTAAAGACAAAACAAAAAAAAAAGAAATTATGACATCAGCGACAAAGCACGTCAAAAACTACTAATAAAAAAGAAAACACAAACAAAAAAAATAGAATCGGTTGACAAACACAGAAGAAAAAGGTACTGAACTGTTTTGTTATTGCCTATTTATTTATAGAAGATAGATGCTTATAAATAAAATTAACGTATCACATTGTGATTTCTGAATAGCTACCATATTATATTTTAGCTTATATATGTAGTTATGAATTTCCAACTTTACCTATAGTAGTACAGAAATGAGTATAAAACGTTTAAGTTTAAAAAATAAAAAAACACCGAAAGATTCTATTTGAAATTACAATAGCTCTTATTGAGTTGATACCGTTAAAAAATCAGCATTTGGCAAGAATTAATTTATTTATCAACTGTCCCATAACATTGTTAATTTCCCTCTAAACTATCGCCTTTCTAAACACAAAAAGAAAATACTTGTTAGAGCGTGTCCGATTGTTTTAACCGCAAACACAAAAGTGTGAAGACGTTCCAGTGGGCTACCTAACAGTGAAAGTGTCATCAAAATCCGTTTAATCACTCCTGAAGTATAACTGCAGTCTGCAATTAACAGACTGTATAGAATTACATAACTTCTAATAACTGTAATGATTATCTATGTAAAATAAAGTAAATATTCTATTAGACTTATTACAAGCACTTTTGAATCGTCAATTTAATTTAAGCGTCAGTATAGTCGGTCCGTGAGGAAGCTACCACCCTGCTGAGAAGAATCAGCGAGAATCTTAACAGTTGCTCTTTTAAATATCGAACTTACATTTTTTTTTTTATTAACATAACAATATAGATAGCCCGCATATGAGTCAATATTTCTCAATTCCACACATTTTCATCAACAAGAAACTTTTGAACTTTGCTCGATAAAATATTTTTAATTTTATCTTAAAATTTTTGAAAAGGTAAATCTAGCACATGGTGTGGAATCTGATAATATAGGTACAGTTTAATATCGCACTATCTTATATTGTTATTAATTTGAGAAGAATAAGTCTTTGTTATAACTGACAAAAGGAATAAAGGACATATTTATGTTTATCTTACTTAGGTTTTTATATTTTTTCGTATTGAAATAGACTTAATCCATAAAGATATCAGTAGCTATTTTTGGTAATAAAACGCAAATACAATAAATGTGGCCGAAGGGTTAAGCTGTTAAATATATAATAATTAAATACTAATGTAACCCACCCTTGCTTCACTAGAGCTCTAACTTGTAGTCCAATAAATGCATAACTCATGGGACCTTGATGTGCTGCGATGATAAAATCTGCCATAAACTATTTCTATACCAAAAATTACGTGCATTTATTGCTCCGTTGCTGAGTGAAAGAACAACAAAACAATCCGCCAACAAAATACTGGTTTTTCTAATATTACCGGAAAAGGCAAACACATACTCGTACTCGTATATGAAACTAAATCACGATAATCTAATCATTTTCAAGAGAAAGTATATATTTAGTAACTTAAGATTATTTTAAATTGTTATAATATACCTCAAATTACATATTATTTGCAAAATAACTTTATTAATGATAAATCAAACAACAGTATATATAGAGTTATGAGAATATTTTATGAAAGTGTTATATGATACGTTGCATAACCAGTCAAGTGTATTGTTTACTCACAGTCGGCTGACCTTTAGAAAGCTAGGTGATTGCACTCGGAAATACCTGTTTAGCCTTGGATCTATCATCAACTATTATTTCAATATAACAATGAACTTTGCGTTCTTTTATAAAGTAAGTATTTTTATTGTTGGCGGACGAAGTTTTTATACTTCATATGTATATATAAGACTGTATATATGTATGTATATTTTTTGTTCAATCAGTACTTACATTTTTAATAAAGATTCCATTTTTTTCTCCATCGCGAACATTGAATCTGATGATTGTGATGTTAGCACTTTACAAAACGTGAACTTGGCACATTGGGAATCTCTCCAGTCAGTTTGTTTCACCAGATCCATAGCTGCAGATGTCAGACTTGAAGATCCTGAACTCCTATCCAAATGCTGTAAATCATCTGGCATGTCTTCTCCTAATGATCTTTTAACACTGCGTCTTTGTCTAATAAAAAAGTTTTGATAAGGCTCATAAAAGCTCACAGCGTCTCTCTTAGCTCGACTCTCGACACCTTCAGGGGACATTACTACGTAGACGTTTTCACTGGGCATTTTATAGTTATCGTCGTAAAACTGTTGTGTGCTCAGAATTTTTCTATCAATATCGTATGGTGCATTAGTAAAAGATCTTTTGTGCTCTTTCTCGATTTCGTCAATGGAATCATCTTGACGGGCACTGCGCATGAGGTTGACGTCCAAAAGTCTTCCAACTGCCACAGCTCCTAATCCCAGAGCAGCTCCACCAGCCATGAGTCCAAGAGCTGGCAGCATTGCAGGAGCTCCTGATGCTGCAGCTGCTACACCAATCTTATCTTGAGCATACCTTTGACTTTGTATTGAATTGGATGGGTAAAGACCTAAATTATGCGATATTTTGTGAGTTGCTTCAACGAGAGGGTCCAGTACAGGCTGAGTCACTTTAGCAATAGGTTCCATTAATGGTCTAGTAAATTGATGAACAGTTTGGCTGGCGGTGTGGATAGTGTCTTTCATTGAATCGGTAAATCTTTGCCATAATGATGGCTCGGGAGCTCTTTTAACGTAGCCATAACTATATGGATATCTGTTTTGAGAGTGATCATAGTAAGAAAATTTATTATATTCATCTTCATAGTATTTATTTGCGTTCGGGCCATTGCTCGTACTGCGCTGTTGATTGTACCCATTGATTGGTTCCATAGGATATGGATGAGCGCTCTTTGGACCGCTTGTGTAATATTTTATTTTTTGTTCTTTGTTATAGTTCTCAATGCCATCACGTGTAGCTTTTGCAGGTTGAACTCCAAGTTCAGGATGAGCGTATTGAAGAACAGGATTTCTTACACTCTCGTCAAAACCTGGTTTAGCATTTTTAGGAGTGTACATTAAAGAGTTTGGAAAATTTACTTCTCCGGGGTGCTGTAGCATTCGCCTTTGAATGTGACTTTCCGAGTATTCTAAGTCACCGTTATGAGCTCGTGAGCTACGACCACTGAAATAATCTCGTTTTAACTCCTGGTCATTAATTTGCTTAATATATTCAATAAGTTTAGAATTTGCTACCTTTGAGTTATCAGCTTTAGTAAATGGACCATATCCTGATTTAAAGTAATGGATTTCCTTTTTAGGCTTATATATGTATGTGGAGGGAATAAAATCATCGTTTTCGAATTTTATGTTATCGAATTTTGTGAATGGACCATCATTTTGTTCAAAATTATCTTCTTTTGTAAAAGGTCCTAAGTTTTGTGATGGCTCTGTTGCAACTAAATCTGGATAAACATCAGCTTCAGGAATGGCCTTTGGAGGAGTATAGCCTTCTGGATAAGGTATTAATTCTCCATTGACAACTCTTGCATTTCTCCATGTTTTCTTATCAGATTCATCATCAGGCATTCTAACCCCTTGTATTTCAGGTATTCCATCATCACCTAGAGTTAAAATAGACCTGCCGCGCTTGTTATTATACTTCTCTATAGCTTTTTTAATATACATTGACTCAGAATTAATAACGACTGGATCAGGGACTTTAAATGATTTTTCTTCATCATCTTCAGAAACCTTTGTACTTACTACTTCTATGTAAACTGGATTTCTGTCATTTTTAATAACAGGATTATGAGGGTCGAATCTATAGCTTTTTATGGGTCCATTATAGTCCATGAAGCTAGCTGACGTAATATAAACTCTCTTGTTTTCTGTCTTTTTATCGTTGTCGTACGTAGGGTAATAATTTGAGGTTTCAGGATCGTTTTCAGGTTTCTTTCCGTCTTCCTGTATATGAGACTCAGGGTAAACGGACACTGGTGACCAGTTCCCATACTCAGCTTTTACATCAGCAAAGTCGTCGTGTTTATTTCTATTTACATAATAATCGAAGCCAGCTAAATCACTACTTACTGAACCAAAATGTAATTTACGCTGATCTCTATTATCTGTTTTATTTTTGTTGTTATCTTCTGTGTCGTTCTCTTTAGCGGTCGTTAGAGTTGTTCTGACCGAAATAGTGGTAGGTGCAGGCGTTGTAGTGCTTCCATATGTGGTTGATTTTGAGTCCTTTTTCTTGACTATCAGTTGAGTTAGGTGACCTGACTTGGTCCTCACATTTAGAGTCTGAGTTTCGTGTGGGTTCAGACTTCTGGAGACCTTTAATTCGGTCCGTGTAGTCCTTGATGGTAGGAGAGTCGTTCGTATTGTCTTTGTTGTTGTGGCATTCTCATTGGGGTCTGCTCTTGCACTGACTGCACAGAACAGCCAAAGGATGGCACATATTCGTATTTGACTTACGGGAGCCATCTGAAACAGAAAGAAAAATATATTGTATATAATGGAAAACTAGAAAAATTATATAAAATATAATACAATACAGTCAAAACATAGTAATTTAACGCTGTCGCGGTTTAAGTTCCTGTACGATGTGAAGGGTCACATTTCACATTAAAAAAATAATAAACTTAGCGGTGAATAATTACGTTCTCTGTTTACATTTATATTGATACGATACGACGGATATGATACTATGACCATTGTCACGTATTTATGTCAATATAATTTGAAATTCAATAGCATATTAATTGCTACAATTTTGCTGTAATAGTACTATATTACTGAGCTATTTTTTAACATGTTTGCCGAAAAATATTATTTTTATTTCAATTTTTTCTAGATGGTTTTGAGCTATCGAGATATTTTCTGTAGTCACCAAACAGAAATTATCCGACAAATGGTATAATACATGTAAAAGATTATTTCTACTGTATATGCTTAATTGCTTTCACTATAAAAACTTTTTAACAAAAAAATAAAAACCGACTTCAAACAAAAGCACTAAAAAGTAACAAATAAGTGATTGGTAGTTTTCATTTACTATACATACCTAATCAAATATTTTCGAAGTCGGTGTGCTTAGCTTTGTATGGGCTGGCACCGATTTCGAAAATATTTGATTAGGTATGTATTTAATAGGTAGGCTTTAATTACTTAGCCAAAGCACACCGACTTCGAAAATATTTGATTAGGTATGTATAGTAAATGAAAACTACCAATCAGTTATTTGTTACTTTTTAGTGCTTTTGTTTGAAGTCGGTTTTTATTTTTTTGTTAAAAAGTTTTTATTTTTCCCTTTTTAGTGTAAACAGTAGTAGCAAAGTAAGGATTCTAACGTGTTAGGCTTGTCAAATCAAACAAAATAAGCCCAAACTCAAAGTATCTACTATTAGCCGTTGAAGAGTTCCACCTATTCACCTTCTGGCCTTGCCATCAGATCAGGTCAACAACACCGAACCACTGTACTATCAACGGAAATAGAAATACTTGCAAAGTTTCAAGTCAATATGACAATTAGAAGTAGGTTAAATTCATCATTAGTTGTTTTTCCACCCTTAGGGGTGGTATTTTGTTTTGAAATTTAAATGGGACCAATCTGGAAGTACACCCTTTCAAACAAAACAAAAATTGTCCAAATCGGTTAATAAATGACGGAGTTCTGAGGTAACAAACATAAAAAAAAAAAAAAACATACAGTCGAATTGAGAACCTCCTCCTTTTTGAAGTCGGTTGAAAATCTGATTTTGACAGGTCCAATATTAAATATATTTTTATTACAACACTATTGACACTTAATGAGGCGACGACATCGCAAATTCAAATAAATCGAGCATGAACAGTGAAAAGACTGTAAATTGAGCATTTCTAGCGAATTGATTTATTAGTGAAAGTGACGGGAAAGAGTCTGAGATGTGTGACCGTTTTCCAACAGTGACATCGAGTAAACGTAACGGATCAAATTCATTAACTTTTATTACCGACAACTAACAGTCTCCGTATGAGGCGGTAATAAATTATATGACGACCGTTTGGCGCAGTTTAAACATTAAGTTCATGTACATAGAATCTACTTGAGAGAGGAAAATAAGAGTAAACTCACTAGTTATTTACTGTAAGTCAGGAGATATTTTTTTTAACTTTGGGAAATGCATTTAGGAATTCTGCAGACCACCTGCATACATATTGGATACAGGTAAAAATCATGAGACAACACGACACGGTGAAACTCATGAAATTCTGGTTCTAGTCCCGTGAAAGAATTATTTAGTTTCGTGCCAAAAAAATCTATATCCTAAATGTAAAGAGACAGTAAATTCAATACAAATTTATATTATATATTGTAACAAAGTACTTATAAAACTTGTAATATGTTATTTAATAAATAAATTGAGTTGCATCATATTTTACAAAAATGGTGTTAAATTTTTGATAAAAAATAGCGTATGTCATATGTGTTAAACCAGGATATACTATTTCTGTTATGAATTTCAGCTGAACGTAAAGTGGTTACGGCGTGAAGAAGTAACAAACACACTAACACTTACGTCGCTTACTATATTATTGTGAAATCTTAATCAAAAATGAGATTGAAGAAATATTAAGTGAAAAGTATGCAAAATAGGCAGTTAAGTGATTCTTAAATTTTAATGCGTTTGTAAACAAAGTTGAAAGCGCGCCGGTAAATAGAGTATGTAGAGATTTAAAAGGCGTTAAGTTGTATGTGTTAAATTACTGCGAACTCACTATAGTGATATACGATTTGTGTTTTTTTTGTTTTCTCTATGAAAATCTACTTACTGATTTAGTTTTATTTGATGTGTTTGGACTTATCGAGTAAGGATGACTTGTACGAAATTAAACATATTAAAGATTTTTAAAATAATATTGAGAATTTTTGTACTTTTCATGTATGTATGTACATTTGGGATCATTAACCTTAACTTTATATGGTGAATTTTATACGTTAATCATGGTAAGCGAAGTGTGAGGTTAAATCTTTTAATTTTATATGTTTTTTCCGTCTTTTTCATCAACTAGGCGAATACTGGTGATAATTTATAATTCGACTACAGCGCTTGTTGTTGAGTCCAGATTTTTATTTATTTTCTTATTTGGATTAAACAATAATATAAAATATCATAGTTTCATCGTAATTTCATGACAGATATAGAAACACAAATTATCCAATAAAACTTGCGCGCATTCGTCGTTGATGGAACGGCAATTAAATAAATGGTTTAGATACACAGAAGACGAAAATTCATTTTTGTGCAGACATTCGAAAATAATGATCAACAACAGTATGTCGTAACTATCAATGAATCACAAAGGTCACAGCGACTGAGTTTCAGATAGAGATTTTCGAACAATTTGATTGCGTAACGATTCCACAAAGGTGTTCGTGGGAATATCGCTATTAATGTTCTAAATTACGTGAACCGAGGTGTATGTACTGAGAACGGATCTTTATGGAGATTTTTTATCTAACTAAACATTAAGCTTTTGATTACTTTAGTAGGAGTAGAAAGTTAGAGGGTTTTTTGTGAAGGTATGCTACGCCATATTTTCACCTATTATGAACCCATATTAAAGATTTTTTTTAATGAATAAATAGTACCTGAAGTTCCATTTAGTTAAGGATTAGTATATGATTTTGTAAATTCAATTCATTTTTTTTATTTAAATTCAATTTTAATTTTTTGTTTTGTAAATATATACATGCATAAATACATTATGATGTGATATATATAAACACCAATGTCCTTTTTCGTCGTTAATCTATCCCAATAATCTCCCTGAACTATTTTAAAAGTACATCCCAGTTAATATTACACTTAGCTTTAAAAATAAGATAACTGTTTCAGCCTTTGTGAATTGCATTTCACTTTACGTAACGTCATATGGAATATAGATACCTATTAGATTATGACATCGACCGTGACCATCCAAGTGTACTCTTGAAATACAACAAATACACTCGTACGTACTGTTATAGCTTATGTATGTTTGCACGCCAATTACCTCTAACTTTTATACCATAAAGGAAGGCTGTTTGTTAACCTGTTTTTTATTAGAGCAGAAATAATTTATAGTTTTACGCGTAGCGATCTAATTAAGATAAACTATAAGGTCTTTAAATATTATGTCAATGCCATTTGTACATAGGAAAAATATAATAATTAAATTTCGCAAAAATATTATCTGATCAAATATATAATTATGCTAGCTAGAAACTACTATAGGCGTGTATTTATTTTGTATTGTTAATTCTACACGAATTGAGGATAGTAAGTATCTCGCAATAAAGATAGTAAGGTACTTTTTGTCGTGAATATGATATAAGAACATATTTAGGACCGTGTTAGTTATTAGTGGACTCAACAGGAGATATGAGGCATGTTTTAATATTTACTAAACAAATCGAAATAAAAAACCATTCCTTACTTAACTGTATGAAATTACATTTGTATGTAACTAGCGACTATCCTTGCTTGGCTCAGACGCGCTTTTCGTCCTTAGGTGCTTGCAGTAACCATATGCTATGCTAGATCATAGTCAATCTGTGTGCTAAATTTTATTCAGATCCTTTTGGATGTTTCAGCGTAGAGACATAACAAACATACACACACATACAATTTTTTTGCATTTAAGCTAGTACCCCGATGTAATATCTATAAATCTAGTTAACATAAAAAATAATTTGATATATTTGCTTATTACTATAGTTTGAAGCAACTTTAGTTAGCCACCCTGTGCTAGAACAATAAAGTACAATTATAACAGTGCAGTAAATTACGCAGTCGATGTAGGTCACGCACCACGCGCCTTTCATTTTCTTTTCTCTTTACGTTTCCTCGAGTGTACGCGCTGGAAAATATTTTCACATGTTAGTTGCAACACCTCTAGAAACTGACCTATATTGTTTAAACGCGACTTTTTCATGGTGAAAAATACTTTAAAAGAACTTACAATCTAAAACAAAGTGTGCCGTCGAAAAATAGAAATGGAAAAAGGCTTGACGGCTATTTGACATCTTTGGGTACTCTGACTCTTAAATTCATGTACTCGTAGTTCAGATTTGAATACAATATATTATGGTGACATCGAGTTTATCGAATAATGAAAATGCGAACCAAGATAGAAAGGGATGAAAACAAAATCAAAAATAACTGATAGAAATAACTTTTTAAATATAGTTTTTGCTTAAGCTTAAAAATATTTTTGAATCTACCCCTACATTTTATTTCGTGTCTTCTCCATTCTACGTGACATTGGCGAAGTAATCTGTGTTCAACTGGCACGTTTTGAAGACATTAACAAGAAAATACAATTGAATCGAACATTTTTATCAATTAGGAATATTGGATATGTACAGCAATGAATTATCATTATTCTAAGTTCATTTAACACTAATTATAAAAACACCAACCGCTCACGAATATTTATTATATAATGAATGTTCTTCACGG